GACGTTTTCTTTTTTTTTTTATTTATTATTTATTTTTATTCATATGTGCATACAATGCTTGGGTCATTTCTCCCCCTGCCCCACCCCCTCCCTTACCACCCACGCCCCCTCCCTCTCCCCCTTACCCCCTCAATACCCAGCAGAAACTATTTTGCCCTTATCTCTAATTTTGTTGAAGAGAGAGTATAAGCAATAATAGGAAGGAACAAGGGTTTTTGCTAGTTGAGATAAGGATAGCTATACAGGGAGTTGACTCACATTGATTTCCTGTGCGTGTGTGTTACCTTCTAGGTTAATTCTTTTTGATCTAACCTTTTCTCTAGTTCCTGGTCCCCTTCTCCTATTGGCCTCAGTTGCTTTTAAGGTATCTGCTTTAGTTTCTCTGCGTTGAGGGCAACAAATGCTAGCTAATTTTTTAGGTGTCTTACCTATCCTCATACCTCCCTTGTGTGCTCTCGCTTTATCATGTGCTCAAAGTCCAATCCCCTTGTTGTGTTTGCCCTTGATCTAATGTCCGCATATGAGGGAGAACATACGATTTTTGGTCTTTTGGGCCAGGCTAACCTCACTCAGAATGATGTTCTCCAATTCCATCCATTACCAGTGAATGATAACATTTCGTTCTTCTTCATGGCTGCATAAAATTCCATTGTGTATAGATACCACATTTTCTTAATCCATTCATCAGTAGTGGGGCATCTTGGCTGTTTCCATAACTTGGCTATTGTGAATAGTGCTGCAATAAACATGGGTGTGCAGGTGCCTCTGGAGTAACCTGTGTCACAGTCTTTTGGGTATATCCCCAAGAGTGGTATTGCTGGATCAAATGGTAGATCAATGTTAGCTTTTTAAGAGCCTCCAATTTTTTTCCAGAGTGGTTGTACTAGTCTACATTCCACCAACAGTGTAAGAGGGTTCCTTTTTCCCCGCATCCTCACCAACACCTGTTGTTGGTGGTGTTGCTAATGATGGCTATTCTAACAGGGGTGAGGTGGAATCTTAGTGTGGTTTTAATTTGCATTTCCTTTATTGCTAGAGATGGTGAGCATTTTTTCATGTGTTTTTGGCCATTTGAATTTCTTCTTTTGAAAAAGTTCTGTTTAGTTCACTTGCCCATTTCTTTATTGGTTCATTATTTGGGAGAATTTAGTTTTTAAGTTCCCTATATTCTGGTTATCAGTCCTTTGTCTGATGTGTAGTTGGCAAATATTTTCTCCCACTCTGTGGGTGTTCTCTTCAGTTTAGAGACCATTTCTTTTGATGAGCAGAAGCTTTTTAGTTTATGAGTCCCATTTATCTATGCTATCTCTTAGTTGCTGTGCTGCTGGGGTTCCGTTGAGAAGGTTCTTACCTATACCTACTAACTCCAGAGTATTTCCTACTCTTTCCTGTATCAACTTTAGAGTTTGTGCCATCTCTGACTTTCAAGGCTGATGTAGAGAATACATGTAGCAGACTGTCGCAAACAGAAGCCTGACCTCTGCATTCCTTCCTGTCTTTCAGTTGGTACTGATCCCCTTATCACCTGGCTCCTTGCTGAAATTCCTGCTGGAGGGCGTGTGGGTGTGGACCCCTTCCTCTTCTCTGTTGGTATGTTCTTTGCTCAATCCCCAGATTTGTTCAGACCAAGGAAAGATGGCTCAGCCCCCTGGGAGGTAAAGAAACATACCTTCTTAGAAAGAGGGACAATATGACCATAAAAATAAAGTATTTGTAAGTTGTGGCTGCAGAATATTTTGCAACATAGGTATATCCATAGTTGTATAATTAATATATGTTAAAAGAATAAATACATCTTTTAAGTGAAGAGTGTACCATCCATTAGAGTGCCTGCCTCTAAGCACAAAGTACTGAGTTCAAACCCCAGTACCACCAAAAACAGAAACAAATCTAAGACTTACCATCTTGGTCATCCAGAACCATTGTCTAGTGATTAGGGGTTGCTAGACTTCCAACTATTTCGCCAACTCAGAACATTAAAACCCCACAAAAGGGTTGCCATTTTTGAGTTTGTCTCTCACCTCTGAACTTATAGTAGAAGGTGCTTTTTCCTCTTTCTTTTAAAATTTCTCTCTACTTTTATACTAAAATAAATCCTTGCTAAAACTTCAAAAACAAATTCATGAGTGCAGAAAGTCAACCTAGAAAAGTCAAAATCATTACGATCTAGTGGATAAATAGGCCTGGATGTCCTTGACCCCAGAACTATCCTCTGGACCTTGGAACTCTACCAATTATGACACTTAGAATCACTTGGAAGCCCTCTTCTGGAAGTTAGCTTAGAAGGGTCAAAGTAGTTGAGAGGGCCTTCCAGCAAAACAGGTCCCCTGGGAGTACAACTCCCTGAGCCTCATGGCCGCAGGCAACTGGCCACCCCATGCCCTCCAAGGTAGACACCTCATGAATATGCATGGCTCCAAGGTAGACGCTTCATGAATATGCACAGTTCCTACTTCCAAACTAACTTCTTTGCCAGCCTATCCAGTCACCAGAACATCACCTTTCCTTTGAATAGTAACATTGAATTCTGGTGAAAATTGTTAGTGCTCCAAAGAGGGACTACCCCAGCCAGTGGCAGTTAAAAAGACAAGGTTAGCTAATTGGCACTAGAGAGCGTTGAGGTGGATCAGGACAATTAGACTTGGAAAACAGAAAGAGGGAGAAGCACATCCTAAGGGTACATGCATTCCAGAAGGGCCAAACTTCTGGGGCAGGCTGTGGGCCGGAGGGGAGTGGGAGGCAAAGGGGAACAGAACTAACTTTCTTGAACCACAGTTTTCCCTGAGGTGTAAGTGGATAAGGGACAAGTAACCCTTCCCTGTCTCTGCAGATGCCTGGGAAGGTTATGACCTGGCCCTCCGAGATGCCAACAGACAGCTGGTATCCATTACAACCAACCTTGTGGACCTGGTATGGGGGTCAGACAGGCCCCCAGTTCCAAGCCAGCCCATTTATGCCCTGCAGGAGGCATTTGTAGGTAATTGAGAAAGCCCCTTTTCCTTCCCAACTTACACCAACATGAATCCCTGCTAGCATGGGTGCCCCCTGCTTCTCCTTTGACTGAAAAAGTCACTAACAGCAGTAGCAAATCAATGGCTCACAAATATTAGCGCGTGTACCTGAGTCACCTGAGATGCTTGATTAAAATGCAGATTTTTGGACCCCTCCCCAGAGAGTCTGAGTCTGCAGGTTCTCAGAACCATATCTAGAAAATGCTGGAATAAACAGTGTTAGGATTTGAACCAAGAATGAGCAGGAAGGGAGGATACAAGTGAGTCAGAGAAGGATGAGAAAAAAAAAAACTGAAGAGAGAAAACACATGACATGAGTTGCTTGCCTGGTAATGAAGACTGGTTTGTATTGAATCATTTGACCCTTTACTTCTGGCCGTCCCACAATGAGGAATTTAGGTTTGTGAGATGACTAGTATTGACAAAGGAAGTAAATAACTGAGTTCAGAGTCAGCCTGTGGCACAGATGAGGGCTCAGGTTTTGGCTAAACCACAAAGGAAAGTTAACTGATCCAGAAAAATCTAATGTCCCTAACGCTGACCTCGTTGACACCATCTAAATACATGATTCTTGTAATAACTAAAATCCTGACCAGAACCAGGCTACTGAATCTGAATCAGTGTCTTGGCCACTAATCATCCTTACCTCCCTAGGAATTTTGAACGGGCCAATGGATTTGGATTCGTAGTCACATTGGGCAATCTTAGAGGTCCCTTTCCACACAAAAGTCCACGCACATTGCTGGTTTGGAAAGGAGTGAAAAAAGCAGGAATGAAATTTCAAAATTGTGGCTATGATGAAATGAGTGAAAATTGTATCCAGTTTTCTTTATCTGTTCCAATGTAACTTGCAGAATCATTCTTCACTCATCTTGACACAGTTTTTAAAGAAATTTGTTCTCCAATTCTGATCATAAATACGACTCATGTTATTCTGATAAAGAAGGTCACAGTAATGCCGGGAAAAGATGGGGATAAAAGGCAAAAATGAACCAGGGACTGGTACAGAATTTGCGTGGGTTTTGTCACTTCCCACAAGATAGGGGATGCCAAGGCCTCACAGGCTGTGAGTCCTCAAGGGAAAGCCACCCAGAGCCAGACTGGGCCTGGAAGCCCAAGAACAGAGTTCAGCTTCAAGAAGCTTAGACAAGAGATTTTTTTCTCTCCAGCAGGTTTTAAAAGCAGGGAGAAGGGGCAGAAGGATAGAGTAGAGCATGAAGAGTTAGCTACTCAAAGATAACCATATGTGTCAGGCATTGTAATTTGATTTGATTTCTCAAAAATGTGTCATAATCTTGAATCTTGAAAACATAATTCTCAGTGAAATGAGCCACTCAGAGAAGGCTATATACTGTATGATTGCATTTATATGAAACGTCTAGCATTGGCAAATCCGTAGACAGAAAATAAATTAGTGCTTTCCTGGGACTGGAAGAAGGGGGGAATGGGGCGTGACTCTTCATGGGAACAAGGTTTCCTTTTGGGATGATGAAAATGTTTTAGAATTAGATAGGGGCTATGCTTGTACAACACTGTGAATTTACTTAAAGCCAACCAAATGGTGCCTTTTCTTTTTGGAGGGGGGAGGTTGGGCTTTCTTTAAAGAAACATTTTTATAAGCTTATGATAGTTGTACAGGTGTTTTGTTGTGACATTTCCACATATGCTTGTAATGTACCCTGGTTTGGTTTATCCATCCATTTTTCACCCTCTTCCCCTCCCTCTTCTTCAAATGACTGTGACAGGTTTCCATGTTCCATATTCACACATGTGTAGAAAGTACCTCAGCCACATTCCCTCCCCCTCCCGCCATTGCCGTCCCCTTAAATGACCTGCATTGCAGCCCTGTCCTCCACTGTTGAAGTGTCTGCTCAGTGTTCAGTGGGGTTTGCCTTGGTATTTTGCCTGTAAATGTATTGCACTTTAATCAGTCACACCCCCCGAATTGCGCTTAAGGAGGCCAAAAAGATAAATTTTATGTTATGTCTATTTTGCCACAGTAAAATAAGCCTAAAAAGTATATCATACTCAAAACTTTGGTTCTTGTTGAATGGTTTTACCTATTTGCATAAAGTTTTAGGTGGCATTAAATTATTATTTATGCTCATGTCGGGCCCCAAGTAGGACGCTTGATGTTAATGACCTTCTGCCAGAACAATTCCTAGTCTTGCCTAGAGAGAGACTCTTTGTGTGCCTTGCAGGAGGCAGGGAGAGAAGGTGAAAACAAAGGCCCTAGAACCCACATACCAGCATTCTGTGTCACAGCATTACGAAACAGTTTAAGGACAAGTTTGGAGACTGACAATGTTAGCAAGACAGTACAGTGTCTGTACAGATTAGGAGTGTGGACCATGCAGTCAAATAGCCTTGTGTTCAAATTCCACTCCATTCCTTGCAGTTATGAAACCCTAGATAAGTCACGTTACCTCTCTGAAGCCTCAGTTTTTGTATCTGTAAAATGGGTCAAATAAGAATTAAAACAATGTACATGAAATGCGTAGCCCAATACCTGTGGCATATTAAGTCCAGGGGTTACTGCACAAGAGAGTTCAACATGGCCCTAGCCCTCTCCCTTTTTAGGGCACCTTTCCTGTTCCCTTTCTGCAGGCTTATTTATCCATCAGAAAGCTATACCAGACTTACTAAATGCCAAAACACCTTTCTGTATGCTTTATAAATATTAATTCATTTGAGCCTCATAGCAACCCATTCTCCATTCTATGAGACACAAAGGGTTAAGTAATTTGTCCAAGGCCACTCAGCTTGTGTTGGCAAAGCCAGGATTTGAGCTTAGTCTGGGTCCAGAGTCCATGGCATTAATGACTACCCAAGTGGCGGTCTGTTTAAAGGAAGAATTCTACTGCTTTTTAAAAAATGGAGGGCCAGGGCTGGGGCTCAGTGGTAGAGCACTTGCCTAGCATGCACAAGGCCCTGGGTTCCGTCCCTAGCACCAAAAGAAGAAAGGAAAAGTATTACCCTAAGGGAGCCCTCCCAGGAACTACATGCCAAAGACAAGGTGTGTCACTTACACTTTCTTTGGGATTTTTTGCTTCTAGGGAGCACTTGGCAGGAGAAAGTATCCGACATCCGAAGCCAGATGCAGAAGCATAGCGGGGCTCCGACTGCTGTGCTTCTGTCTGCACTTGACGAGACGGCCTGTGAGTGTAGAACTGTGAATATGGGTGCATGCTGGGGTCCCCCCAAGCCTCCTGGGCCTGGCAGCACAGAGCTCTTCCCCAAACTGCCCACCAGTTACTATGAGATCGGTGGCTGTGGCCTGTGGGAATTCAGAGGGGTAAAGGCAGCTCATTTCTGCAGAATAAAGAAGCCAGGGAGCTCTAAGCAAGGAGAGGGCAGCCCACAGGCCATGGAAGGAATGGGCCAAACACAGTGGCGGAGTGTTTCTGTCTTCTTAATGGGAAGGGGGCCAGCAAACACCACCCACCAGCCTGGCTACCATCCCAGGACACACACTTCCAGCTTTGACATCCAGAGTCACCGTACTGTGCCCCACCAAGGCTCAGAGCTTCTTGCCTGTTCCCTATGGCTGGACTCCAGCCATTCTCAGGACCCACGGAAACTGTGCTGACTGTTGTGTATCTGCATTTTTCTGGGGGAAAAGGTCCAAGGGTCTCCTCAGCATCTCAAAGACCTCCAAAAGGATGGAAAAACATTCGGAGGCAGATGCTGCAAGCTCCTGCCAGTAATCTTGAGGCCAAAGCAAACAGTGGGGCAAAGGTGTCAGAATTGCCTGCTGCTATGCTGAACAGCCTCAAATAGTCCCCATAATTCTTTTCCCAGGGCTCTTCAACCTTCGCAGTGATGACATCCCGTACAACCCGTTCTTCTATTCCTACACACTGCTCACAGACTCTTTCATCAGGTGTGGCTTTTCCTTGGCATGCTGTCATCTCCAACTTCTGTCCTCTCATCCCACCACTGCCCTCACCCCAATATATATCCTTCAGGCTGCCTGTGAACTTGGTGCCTCTCATGCAGAACCCTCTAAGAAACATCCTATTGGCTGTTCCTGACCCTTGACCTCTGCTCCCAGTGAATCCCAAATCTGGTCTGCTTGACTCTCTACACTGGCTTCCTCTGATCTTTAGGAACAAAGGTGTTGTGTGCACCTTTAGTTCTTTGTGTTGTCCTTAGCAGACACTAAGGACCCTCTGGGCCTTCCCTTCCCACCCAGGTTATTTGCAAACAAGAGTCGCTTTAGCCCAGAGACTCTGAAGTACCTGAATTCCAGCTGCACAGGCCTCATGTGTGTACAAATTGAGGACTATAACCAAGTCCGAGACAGCATCCAGGCCTACGTCTCAGGAAATGTTAAGATCTGGATCGGAGCCAGCTATACCACATATGGGCTCTATGAAGTGATACCCAAGGTGAGTTTGCCAGGCACCAATCCCCGCTCCAGACCTGGTAAGTGCCAACTTAAAGTGGAGCCAAAGCCCCTCGGCCATTCAGCCAGCTGCTCAGTCAACCACTGTGCAGTATGTTCCCTTCTAGGCTTCTCTGGGAGGAGACAAAAGAGGAAGAAGGAGGGGTGTCTGTCCTCACACAATTGTGGAGGAGGCTAGAGGGAATACAGCCCAGTCTAGCAAAAGTTTTAGAGGCAGCTGAACCTGATACTGAATTCTGGCTCTGTTCCTGACTGGCTGTGCAATGACCTTGAACAAGTAGCTTAGTCAATCTGGGTGTCTGTTTTCTCACCTATAAAATGACAATAAGAGTCCCAACCTCTCAGGAGTTGCTCTGAGATACAAGGAGATAGTACATGTAGAGCCCAGTGGCTGTCACATTGTGGGCACTCAGTAAATGGTAACTGCTGTGATATGGACAGAAAACTGACATTCAAAACAGCTAACAGTGCCACAGGCCAGGCTCTGATCCAGGCCAGAGTGCTGTGGGGAGAGAGCTGCCAAGCTGGCCAGGGTTCCTCATGGAAGCCTTTCTGGAGTGAGGGAGTCTAAGCTGGACATGGACGACCAGGAAAGACTGCATAGCCAGAGACCAGGTTACCCAAAGGAGAGAACATTGCTGCAACAGGGAGCAGCAAGCCTTGCCTCAGCTGACACTTCCTGCTACTGTGCCCTGGAGGGTGCGCTCAGTCCTTCTCTTCTTCCTGCCCTCAACAGGAGAAACTTGAGACAGACACCTACTCCCCAGTGATGGTGACCAAGGCAGTGAAAAACAGCAAGGAGCAGGACCTCCTCAAGGCTAGCCACGTAAGTCTGCTATAGGCCAGTTTTGTCTCTTTGGAGCTCCTGATCTGAAGGGTTAGGGAGCAAAGCATTCCAGAGGATCCTGAAGGAGACCCTCAGTGAAACAACAGAGGAGAAACCAAACTGCTGGCGCACCCCTCTCTTCACCCATCACTCCAAGTATGATACAGTGGTTTAGAATGCAGGCCTGGGGGGTGGGGTGCCTGAGCTCAAACCCCAGCTCCACCACTGCCTAGGACCTTGGACAAGTCATTTCACTTCTCTAAGCCTCAGTTACCCATGTAAAATGGGGATCAAATAGTAATCTTAGCTAGGCATCGTGCTACATGCCTGTAATCCCAGCACTCAGGAGACTGAGGCAGGAGGATCACCAGTTTGAAGCCAGCCTGGTCTACATAGTGAGACCCTGTCTCAGAAAACAAGTAATCTTACACATATGATTATTTTGAAGATTCAATGAAATATAATTTTATATATATATATATTTAGTAGCTTTGAGCACTGCCTGGCACATTCCAAGTTAAGTTATATAAGTATTAGCTATAATGATTTCCTCACCCTCGCAAGAGGATGGCTCACTTTTTTTTGAATATTCTTGGTAAAATTAGGATAACTACACCTCATTTTGAAAAACTTTTTCGTAGGGAGAGTTTTAAACATATGCTATGGTAGAGAAAATTGCATAACGATCCCGTGTCCCCATTACCCAGCTTCAGTGATCATCAAGTCGTCCCGTTTCATATATAACCCCATATTCGTGCCCTCCACTCCCAGCCCTTGCTGCCAGATTATTTGAAAGCAAATCCCAGCTATCATATCATTTCTGCCATCAACACTTCGGTAAGTATCTCTAAAGATAAGAACACTTTTAAAAACATGAGCACACTATGATCAGATATAAACATTAATGAGAATCTTTTTATATCAAATAGTCAGTCAGATCCTCATGTTTTTAAAGCACCAAATCCTAGAGCAGCCATCTGATATTCCTTTGGATCCTGTGGCTGCCACTCCAGCCATCCCTCAGCCACCTCTCTGCTTCCCACTCCAGGTGAGGGATGCTGTAGCTGTGATCCGGTACTTGGTATGGCTGGAGAAGAATGTGCCCACAGGCACAGTGGATGAGTTCTCTGGGGCACAGATTCTGGACAAATTCCGAGGGTAATTGGCTGATTGATTACCTTTCAGTGTGGGGGAGGGGCATCGAGGGATAATTACTCCTCTTAGGAGGAAGGAAGCTCTTCTTTGTATTTGGAAATAAGAGTGACAGGTTCTTGGGTGGCCTGAGAGTTGGGCAGGGGGGTGTTGGATGACATCGCCCTGCCCTGCTGCAAGTGGGACAGCCCAACAGCACCCCCTAGCGTCTGCCTCAGACACAGCTCACTCCCTGGGGATGCTAGCTCAGGTCACTCTGTCCTCTGACCACTTCAAAATTTCCAGTATGGAGGTGGGTCCCTGAGGCACATTTGGCCCAGACCAAGGGCACATCACAGGTTTGAGGTTAGGGATACTGGTCCATGGATGGGGTTTTCAGATATAGGGAGCTAGCTTTCTTCACTCCCGTCTGTGAAATGGAGGTGGCGGGGGAACAATTGCTGCCCACAGTCTGTGTCCTTCTCTGTTCTTGAGGCTGTATCAGTGACAGGACAGTGCTGGAGAAGATGGAACCAGGAGGTAGGGATAAGAGAGACAAACGAAGTGAGCCTGAAATGGAGGCAGCCATGGCCTTTTTGTAACCTGGTGAGACAGCCAGGCCATAGCCTACTCCCTGGGCACATTCATTGACCATTTCTTGCCTTACTCTATCCAGAGAAGACAACTTCTCCTCTGGACCCAGTTTCCAGACCATCTCTGCTAGTGGCCTGAATGCTGCCCTGGCCCACTACAGGTACTTCAGGTTCTGGGAGTGGGGATAAGGGGAGTCTGATTGTGGGTACAGAGGGACCAGTGTAAGGGAGGGGAGATGCTGGGATTTAGGATTTGAGGCCCTCAGCACTGTGGGGAGTTGGAGGAGAAACTCAGTCTGGGGTTGGGAGTCTCCTTGAAATGAAAAGGCCTAAGTGATCTCCCCACCCGCCCACTGAGAGGCTAGGACTTTGCCAGTGCTCAGGGCTGAGGGGTCTAGAAGGGAGGCATGGATGCTGTTAGATGTTTTTCCTTGACTCTGTGAGCTCTTTATGTTAGAAGATTCTTAAAGTACATAAGCACTTGCAAAAAAAAAAGGCCTGTTCACTCACCCTGAACCAGTCATGGTGGGCTCAAGATATAGGATAGCTAGACAGCTGGCCCCATAGAAAACAAACTGCTGTAGGCTTGCCTAACAAAACTTGGAGGGCCAAGCTGACCATATACCTCAGCCTGGCATGGGCGTGCCAGGAAGGGTTGGATGCTCCTCCAATGGAAGACCTGGCCTGTCCCTGAACTCCTGCCCCTTGTATCTCCTGAGTCTTCAGCTGCCTTATCCCAGCCCTTTCTCCCCAGAAGAGCTAGAGAGTAGCAGGGTAGGAACTCCTCAGCCCTAGGAACTCTTGCTCTACAGCCTTATCCTTGGGGCCCCTGCCCTTTCTGGGCCCTGGCTTCTTGGGGCCCTCTGCTCTCAGATGCAGTGAGAAGTCAGAGAAAGAGCACTGGATGGAGCCCAACTCCTGCCTGCTTCCCTGTGTGGCCTCTTTGCCTGTGTGGGCCTGCCTAATCCTCCCTTATGTAGAGGGAGATAGCTGAACCAGGTGTCTCTAAAGCTCTCCTAGATCCCACATTCTGGACTCTTTCCTTCCCCTCCTCCCTGGGGACCAAGGCCTTGCTTGGCCAAGTACAGGATAAATAGAAGTGTGCTGAGGACAGCAGTAACAGTAGAAGCTGGGCACTTTCCCAGGGCCCTGTGGGAGACAGCAACTTTCCCAGAGCAATTTCCAGGCCCCTGGGAGGTAAAGGAGTTCCTCTGCTTTCACTCAGGACCTCAGTGCAGGGCTTAGGTTGTTCCCCTCTCAGTGCTCTCCCCTTCTCAGCCCGACCCAGGAGCTGCACCGCAAGTTGTCCTCAGATGAGATGTACCTGGTGGATTCTGGGGGGCAATACTGGTATGTACCCTCCCATGCCCCACCCTGGCCTAGCCCTCTAGCTCAGATATCCTGGGGCTGCCAAAAACTCACTAAAGCTTTTCTCTCCTGTGCCATGGGTTCTTCATCTGAAAAAAGGGAGACCTGGACTGAATGAGCCTGAGCAGCCTTCTCATTTTCACACATTGGAAAACACCCAGAGGCCAGAATAGTAGGGGGCCCTTGCAGCAGCTCCATGAGAATTAGGAAAAGATACCCATTGCTCAAGTAAAAAATAAGACTGTGAAGAATTATTATTATTATTATTATTATTATTATTATTTATTATTATTGCACAGCTCTGCCTGGCTGCACAAACACACACACACCCATAGCTCACCCATTCTTGCAGGCCCTGGACACAGCCCACATACCACCAGCAACCTGAATTGCTCCTCGGTCCCCCTCTCTCCCTATGGCAAAGTTAGAGAAATAGCAAAGAAGAAAGAGCGGGTGAAATGACGATTTTGGGCTGGGGTTTGGGTAGGAGAGAGAAGCAACCATTTAGATGTGTTTCCCTTGTACAGTGCACAGCCTGAACACTTGGACATGACAGCCATGCAGAATAGTCTAACCCTGTTCCTTCCAAATGTGTGACCAATCATTCACAGCTGTGCTGAACTGATGGATGAGCAAGGAATAGTTTCAAGGGTTCCTCAGCCTCTCTCCTGTGGAAATGGTGAATGTGCTAACAACAGAAACACTTCACTTGTTCTTAACACAGCTCTCAGGAGCCAGTGTAAAGGCGCTTGGCTTAGCAGCCTTTTGCAATGTTTGATGCTCTGTGTTCTTGAGATGGCCAATGTGCAAAGGGGAAGTGAATTTGTGGGGGCGTGCACTGAGTAGGGTAAGGTGGGGGGAACAGTCACCTCACTTCCTCTTCTCTCCTTCTGAGGAAGAAGCTCGCCACACCCCATGACCTCCCAAGTAGGACCCCCGGGGCCTTAGGACCATTTCTTCCCTCTCCTCCCAGGAGGACACAGGGGCCATGCAGGGGGAACAGCTGTAGGTGGTGGTTAGGAGTCAGACTTTCTGGCCACAGTGGAACTCTAAACAGATCACTGGGTCAGACCCAAGCTCAGTGGAGGCTTCAATTGCATCATCTGTGAAATGGGCATGATGAGGCCTGCTCTGTCATGCTCCCCAGGGAGCTGGTGAAGTGTCCTACAGATGGTAAATGAATATGAACATGGGAGGGTGTGATAATGTTCCTTTCTCCTCTCTCTCTCTCTCTCTCTCTCTCTCTCTCTCTCTGAACACCAGTCTCCCCATCTATAAAAGGGACATAATCCCCTGCTATCTCCTTGCATGCCTGGAAGAAGTCTTGCTTTTAAAGCCCAGATGACCCAAGGACTCCCAGAGCTACAAAATTGCCCCAAGGGGAATACGGGGGACCACGATTGTCAGAGAACATAGTAACTTGAGGGCTCTCCAGAGCTCCTTCATGCACAAATATTGAAGGTGCAATTTTGATGAGCATAGCTGTCTTCCTTTGGCCTCCCACTGGGACCTATCCCAGCCCTGTCCCTCAAATCCCAGTGGAAAATGCACAAGAAGCACATCCCTGGCCCCTGCTCCCAAGAGTTCAGCAGATCTCGACATGTTGGTCTCCGTTCTCCACAGGGATGGGACCACAGACATTACCAGAACAGTCCACTGGGGTACCCCCTCTGCCTTCCAAAAGGTAAGGACTGGGTCTAGGATCTTCTGCATCTTCCCCTAGGGTCCCTCAAGCAATCACTCCACTCAGAGCCTTTTCATCTGAGATTTAAAACTGATGCCCAGAGAGGTTAAGTAGTTTGCCCAGGGTCACACAAGTTGGTGGCAGAAAAGAGTGTTCCCTGCTGCTCCTCCAGAGAGATTTTAGGACACCAACAAGGCCTCAGGCCAGGCTTGTCCTCATCCCATTTTGGTACATCAGTGCACAAATATTTCTTCTGTGCTGTCTGTGCATCCGGTCTGTGCTCAGCAGAGAGGAGGGCAGAAAGGGTATTCCAAGTGGAGAAAAATGGCACAAGCGAGTCTCTGGTGCAAAGGAGCTGGAAGTGTTTAGGAAACAGTGAGGGCTGCTCACCTGGGACAGAGCCTGGGACATTGTCTCTGTGCCTTGGGGGGAGGAGGAGGAGGGTGGATCAGGGAGCTGCATTCATGCATTCAGCTGGCAGACTGAAGTCAAGACATTGTGCTGGAAACAGAGAGAAGGGGAGGTCTGTTCAGACCTCCAGAGTTCACTGTCTAGAGACTGGAGTGCTTCCACAGGGTCCAAGATGACAGGCCTATGCAGGTGTGTGATGAAGGGGCTTGTTGATGGCATTGCTGTTGCCAGTGAGCAAAAGAAGCCACCGTCAGTCAACCTCCCTTCCCTGACAGGCAGACTGGCCTGCCAAATGGTCAGGCCCAACCCAAACTTCAGGCCTTAAGAAAACTAAAGGGTGGCCAAGAGTACAGTAATAAGAGTGCTAACATTTGCTTGAGCATACAGTCACTGTGTTGTGCTCATTGTGAGGCTACCTCCTCCTCCTACTTCTACCTTAGGAGCTAGGTACCTTAGCATTCAATTATGCACAAGGAAACCATGGCACAGAGAGGCAAAAGTCACTGGCCCAAGGTCTCAGAGTTTGTGAGTGGCCAAGCCAGGATTCCAGCCCAGAGAGTCTGCTTGCCATCCCCTATTGTCACCACCCTCTACAAGTATGCCCTCAGTCTTCAACACATTATAATGACCTCTGTGGACCAGTCAAAGGGAACTACATGGACCAAGCCCCAGCTTTGGGAACTTCCTCCTCTGTCGCCTTTGGCCATCTTCCAGAACCTGAATGAGAAAGCATCTCCCTCTCTCCCCTCACAGGCCTGGGTCCCCATACCTGCATGTCCCCAGGCTAAGCAACACCCTGGCTCCTCCTCCCATCCTCCACTTCACCTCTTCCTCTCCCTATCAGGAGGCATATACCCGTGTGTTGATGGGAAACATCGATCTGTCCAGACTTGTCTTTCCTGCTGCTACGTCAGGTGGGTTTCAGAGACCAGACTGGACCCAGAGCCTCAGACCCTGGTTTCACAGGACTCAGACTGCCACCCTGAGAGGCTAGATGGGCAGGGATTGTGGCATCATCCTATCCCTTGCATAGATGAGAAAATCTAGCTTAGAGAGAGAAAAGGACTTACTTTCTCAAGAGTGTTAGTGGGAGATCCAGGCCTTGCACCCACGTGTCCTGCCTCCCAATCCAGTGCTGTCTCTCAGAGGCAGGGGGCTGCTGCAGTAGGGGCTGCAGCAATCATGGAAGATTCTTGGAAGAAGTAGGGTCAAAGTCCTAGGCTCTAACTCATGGGGAAAAATTACAGTCGAGTCAATAGTCCATGTAATGGGTACAACACACAGTGTGCTGGAGATATAGTGAGGGACTGGGCTGGCCAGAAAGTCACTGGTTTCATCCATCAGCAGCTCTCCATCTCACCCTAATGTCGCTGTCAATTACCACCCTGGTAATTGAGCAGAAAGGGCCAAGGTGGACAGTCTGGGGTCTAACCAACTGACCAGAAGTAATCTCTTTTCTCTTTCAGGGCGAGTGGTGGAAGCTTTTGCCCGCAAAGCCTTGTGGGACATTGGGCTCAATTATGGTCATGGAACAGGTCATGGCATCGGCAATTTCCTGTGTGTGCATGAGTGTAGGTATCATCTCAGCCCCTGCGCCATGGCAGAGTCTGACACTCTGCCATGAAAGAGAAAGTGCATTTCACAGGTATGGAAATGACCAACCCACAGAGATGCGTGGCCCACCAGCCATCACCCAGTTGGTGGGAGGTGATGCCCCACAGACTAAATGAGGTAGCTTGCCAGTCCTCCTGCCTGATTGGCATCCAGAAGAGCACCAGATAGAGGCCCAAGGCCTAGTGGCTAAATGGCATAGACCCCAGAGTCCATCTGGTGTTTGCCAGCTCCAGGTAGACAAGTGCTGCTAAATGCCCAGGGACCCCCTCCCCCCACATTACCTGCTGTTCCCCAGAATCTGCTTGTTTCCAGTCTGATGAGGACAAGAGAGGTAATACTATGCCTTTATCTTCCTTTCCAGGGCCAGTGGGATTCCAGTCTTACAACATTCCAATGACTAAGGGCATGTTCACATCCATTGGTAAAGCTCTCTGGCCCCTCTACCTCACCATCCCATCCCAGAGTAGGACTAGCTGGGGACTGCAGTCTCGTGTGCACTCACCATCAGGGAGTGTGCCAGGCATAGGCACAGTACAGCCTCAGCTCCAACACTGTACTCTGTCACCTCCCCACTCATATCCCCAACCCCAACCCCAAATAGCCTTACCATCCTTACCCTCAGCTCCCTTGACCCATACCCTCTCTTTACCCTTGAGAGTTAGTTTCCAGCTGTACATCCAGGCTATGGAGTTACCAATCAAATGGTGGCAGAATAGGACAGTGGCACACGGGGAGATGGGAGTACCTTCAGGACCCAAATGGGCTTGTCAGTCCTCCCTGCTTGGCTACAAGGGAGGAAGGGCAAGGCAAAGTTGTGCTTGGAGGGGATATGAGACCTGATAGATTGTCTCTGCTTAGCCAACAAGCATCTAACAAGTTGTGGGGCTGACAGCCAACAGCCATGGGCAGCCAGGCAGCTGGGCCCTCCAGCCACTTGTCAATTGGTACAGAAGCTTGGGCATGGGTCCCCATCCTGCTTACTGTCATTAACATCTCTGTGTCTCCCAGAACCTGGCTACTATCAGGATGGAGAATTTGGTATCCGTCTTGAAGATGTGGTCCTTGTAGTCGAAGCAAAGACCAAGGTAAAATTCCATGGGCTAGAGGTATGGATAGCATGGCAGCGACTTTGGGCTGCATGGGGGTAAGGGAGGCCAAAGGAGAAGGGCATTTCATGTATGAGCATGAATTCGCTTAGAGTCTTCCTTAGCTCCATAGGAATTCCATAAATCAGTTTCTCAAAGTGTATTAAAAATCATCTGGGAAGCTTTTTTTGTTTTTTAAATGTCAGTGCCAGGCCTCTGTTGACCATGTGAATCAGTGTCCCTGCCCTAAATCATCGCTTCCCAGTGCACATACTAATCACCAGGAGAACTTGTTAGAAATAAAGAGTTGACACTATAGCAACCAACAAGATGAAATATCTAGATATAAACTACAAAAGACTTACTGGAGAAACTCTCTGCTAAGGGACATAAAAAAGATTTAAGTAAATGGTGTTCTCTGGGAAGAAGCCTCCATATTATGAAGATGTCATTTCTCCCTAAATTAATCTATAAATTCAAGACAACCTCGATTTCAATGTTAAGTGGATACTTTTGTAATTTCATAAGATGGCAGTAAGGTTTATTTGTAAAAATAAACATGCAAAGATAGCTAGGTAGCTAGGAAAATTCTGAAACAGGAGAACAATAAGGGAAAGCAGCTATATCAGATGTTAGTACAAACTACCATACAAAAACAGGGGATGCTGGAGAAGAGGTAGACAGAACGAATAACAAAACAGAATAGTTAGGCCAGAAGTAAGCCCTCTAATTCCCATAAACAGCATGGGGGTTGGTTTCCAATAAAACTGTGTTTCACCACAGTAAGGAAGACAGACATTATTCAACAAATGGGCAGGGGAACCAATGACTAATCATTTGAGGGAGGTTAAACGGAATAGAATCACTGTTACAGCAAATAAAATCATAGGTGGACCAAAGATTTAAGGTAAACAATGAAAAGGCCTAGAAGAAAACCTTTATGAATTCATTTATAATTCCAGGGTGGAAAAGGGCCTACTTCCAGAAGTCATGAAGAAAAATATTTATAACTCTAAATTAAATAGAAAGTGTGTATCTAAAAACAATACCACAAACAAAATCAAAAGATCTGGGACAAATATAATGCATATGACAAAGAAAAGGTGAATTTTCTCAATTTTTCCATGAACTTTTTCAAATCAGTAAGATAAAAATGGGCAAAGGACATGAAGAGGCATTTCACTAGAATCAGTACAGATATGCACACGTGAAAAGACACTCAGCATCACCCTTAAGGAACTACAAATCAGAACAATAATAGAATACCATGTTTTACTTATCAGATTAGCAAAATATAGAGGCTGGGGCGATGCTGCTCAGTGCTGGGGTGTATGTGGTGAAATGAGCACTGTCTTACACTTTTGGAAGAAGTACAAATTGGTATACACTTAAGTTTGACAATATCTATGAAAACAGCTATTACAAATTCCTGTGCCTTTTGTCTCAGCAATCCCTCCACAGATATGTAAATTCTGAATAGAGCTCCAATAGCTCGTCAGCATATTTATAGTGATAGTGATCTGTAGCGTTAATGATAATGGCAAAAAATTGAAAATAGCCTAAAAATTCATGACTGCTTAAATAAATCATGATCCATTCCCATTACCATGGACTTTTACACAGTGCTTGAAAAGAATGAGGTAGATCTGCTTGTACTAGCACTTTCCTGAGTTTACTACTCAGTAAGGTGGAAGGAAGGTACAGAGAAGTGTGTGTGGTAAGAGCCATTTTTTGTTTTAGTTTCCTAAACACATACATGCAAGGGCTGTCTGGAAAATGGAAATTAAGAACTTTTTGTCCTTTTAACTTGTCTCTAGAAATAGATGAATCAATAGATACATAGATGAGATGGATGGGTGGGCAAATGGATGAATAGAAAAGGAAGGAGGGAGGGAGGAAGGAAGGAAAGAAAGAAAGAAAAATAGAAAACTCTAATAACTTACTTTAAATTATTTAAATCTAGGTTCCAAGACCCTGCCCTAGAGATTCTGCCTCTCGTGGGTCTGGGAGTTGGGCCCTGGAATCTATACACTTAACATGTTCCCCGCGTGCTGTTGATGCCCACACTCTGGGAAACACAGGCCTAATTCCAAACTTCAGGAACCTGCAGGGAAGCAGCAAGGGTTCTAAGTGATAGATAAGATAACTGGCCAAGGGAAGGGACTCTGGAAGGCTCAGGCTAGCTGGAATGGCCAGGGTTGATAAGGACCAGTGCCTTGTGCCCAAGGCTCCTGTGTGGAGTACTCCCTACCTTTCTTCAGCCTAGTTCCTCCACCACTACCCCCTCACTTTACTGTTTTCCCATTTTCCCTGTGGATTCTCAGTATCCAGGGACGTACCTGACCTTTGAAGTGGTGTCTTTTGTGCCCTATGACCGGAACCTCATCGATGTCAGCCTGCTGTCCCCTGAGCAGGTGAGTGCCTCTCCATATTGCCTGGGAACAACTGCCTTCTCCCACACCCTGGGCCTTTCCTGTCTTTACTCCACATACTCCAAGACCCTTGCCCCTGCTTTCCCCAGGAGGGTCCACACTGGTAACACTGTAGGCACTAGGGCACACCTCCCCAGCTTACTATAGACCCTAAAGCTTCTAGAACTTTCCAATTAGACCAGCCTGTCCAACCTCAGGTAGTAAACTCCTGGGGAGTCTGAGACTGGACCGCTGAGCTTTGCCATTATGAGGCCTGGAATTATAAATAATCCCTTCCCTTCTCTGGGCCTCAGTTTCCTCTTTTGTAAAGTGGGGATACCTGCTTACTTTCACTTCTGGGCCAGAAATCCCTCCACCTCACACCTCATGAGCATCACTGTGATGTTAAACAGCCACCACAGAGAACTCACTGCCTCTGGAAAGCCCCAGAGAATACCTGAGGCCTGATTGATAGTGGCTGGGTCCCTGGTCCAAGGTGGGCAGCCGTAGTACCACAGCAGGGAACTGGACAGTACGACCTCTTGGCAGGTTAGCTCAAACCCCTTTCCCTTTGCAGCTCCAATACCTGAATCACTATTACCAGACCATCCGTGAGAAGGTGGGCCCGGAGCTACAGCGTCGACAACTGCTAGAGGAGTTCGCATGGCTACAGCAGCACACGGAGCCCCTGTCTGCCAGGGCCCCATGTACCACCTCCTTAACCTCTGTATTAGTAGCCTCCACTCTTGCCATCCTCAGCTGGAGTAGCTAGAAGCTCTTGACTCCCCTGCTGCTCCTCCACCTGCGCACAGCTCCCCTCCCCTTGCACCATATGTTTCCCAAGAGCCCCTGCAGGCCCATTGCCTGGCAACCACTGCCCTCAGCCTCCTCCAGGACCAGACCACAGGCAGCACAGCTCCCCTCCCCCTCCAGGCCTGTACATCTCACCCTGAGCTCCCAACCTTAGTTCTGAGGATAACAGAACTGAGCAGTCCTTCCCTCCTATGAACACAGCCTGCTACAGCTGCTCCTCTTCCCCCAAATAAAAGACCCATAGGGCAGCGCCCCTAGGGAGAGTGCTATCCTATAACCCCCTACTGGAGCTGCTCCCACCTATACTGACTCCTGTTTTTTTTTTTTTTGGTCTTCCCATGCCCTTAAGCCTGCCCCTGGCCACCCCCACTGTCCCCAGCCCTACAATGGCTTCCTGTATATAGTCCATGCGGCTGAAGCAGGACCCCTTCTGGGCTGCCTGCTGTACCTATAGAGGGGGAGTGGCTGAGTCCTCTCATTGCAGACTGCCATCCTAGCATTGGGGAGAACAGATTAGTGGGGAGACAGGGTGGGCCTGGAGCCAGCAAACAGCCTGGAACAGATACCAGCTGCCTACACACATGTAAGCTCCTAACCCCTGAGTGTGCCCCGTGCTGAGTGACAGCATGGGGAGTTATGGTGCAGGAATTTGGCTATGGGCTAGAAGTGAATGTGGCAAGGTGTTCTAGAATCTGGGAAACACCCTGGGCAGCTACATGGAGTAGCTGGGAGCTACTACCCCAGACTTCCCTGGCATTCAGGGAGCCTTTTCAACGTTCTAAAGCATAGCCACAGTGACAGTGCTATTAAATCCTCCCAAGTCCATGGATGGCCCTTAACCTCGTGTGGGCAGTCTGATTTCCCCATTGTATAGACAGAAAACTGAGCTTCTGAATGGAGATGTACCCTCCCTGAGGACACACAGCACTTGGTTGCGAGATGGTGAGGCCAGATAGACCATCAGTATTACACTGAATCTCTTAGCCTGCCTCCCAGCCTGCTCCTCCTCCACTGAGTCCACCCTCAGAGGGAAGAGTTTTCTCCAGCCTCTGCTGGCTGTTAGCCCCCTGGGCTCACATCCTGCTAGATGCTTAAAACCACTTTGCAAAGACTCCTGCCTCTAGTTTTGCATTGTCTGCTGTTACTGGGTTGCCAGAGGCTGCTGTTACCTGTGGCTTTTGTGGTGGGGGAGGCTGAGGTGGGGGTGGGGGATGTGAGGCTCCCAGAAGCTCAGTAGGGGAGCACATGGGCTTGAGAATGTGCCTGTGAGCGTATGTGTGTGTGCACGCTTGTGTGCATGTGCTCCAATGCCCAGCCAGTGCTAAAGATATGGTAACCGTGTGGAGGGGACAAAAGGGATCTCCACACCAGGCAGCTTGTTAAGCGCAATCAATAAAAATTGGGGCCAGCACCTTTGGCTTAGGGGAGCACAGACGTGGTGGGAGGAAATAAGAACCAAGGCTCTGGAGGTAGGGTGCTGTGCAAAGAAAGGCACCAGACCCAGAAGTTCCCTGGGCTGAGCCAATCAGGCCCAGTTTGCTGAGTGTGAAAATGACCCACTAGAAAAGTTTGCATCCAAGGCTCCAGCCCTGACCCACTGTCACTGAGAAGCCAGAACACATCAGTGGGCCTCTTTGCTGAGTTGTCTGCTCTCTCATCTGCTCCCCCCAGAGACAGCTACTACTAAGAAAATTCAAGTCGTCGTCACCACCATTAGTTTGCCAGTATTTTCTCATTTTTGTCCTCACAACCTAGGAGAAGGTACTAGTATTATTTCCATTTTACAAGTGAGGGAACTGAATGAAGCCCTTAGACTAACCAACATACTCAAGGTTACTTTTTTAGGTTTTTTTTTGTGGTACTGGGGAGGTTGAACTTAGGGCCTCATGCTTGTTAGGCAGGTATTCTACCACTTGAGCCACTCTGCCAGTCATTTTTTGCAATGGTTATTTTTGAGATAGGCTGTCACTTTATGCTGGGACTGGCCTTGATCACAATCATCCAGTTTACACTCCCCGCTGTAGCTGGGATGACAGGCACCCACCACCGTGCGCAGCCATTGGCTGAGATGGAGTCTCACAAACTTTTTGCCCAGACTGATCTCGAACCTCCATCCTCCCATTCTTTCCTTCACAAGTAACTAGGATTACAGGCTTGAACCACCTTGCCCAACTCAAGGTTACTTTTTCATCAAGCAAATGAAAAGAGCAGGAGTCAAACCAGTCATATGACTCCAGAGCCCATTCTTTCAGAAATGGACAAGTACTATGACTCTTACCATTTTCCCCATGAGAAAACTAAGGCCCAGTCAGGCTCACAGTGCTGAGGAGGAGAGTCCGTACTATCCTCCGTCCCCAGGGCCTGTCCAGACTTTTATCCGTGGCCCCTGACACTTACTTCTGGGCCTCTGGAGGTCATGGCACTAACCAAGACCCACTTGTGGTTCATTCAAGGCTGAAGCAGCTGTGTTCCCCTTCCCTCTCCTCAGTTCAAGACCCAGGACTCCTCCTGATTTCCTCCTCACTACTCAGTTACCATCCAACCTACCATCTTGGGATTACAAACCCCAAACCCAGAAGCATGGCTGGAGACATTCAGGGCACACACAGCTGGACTGACACATGCAGGGGCTCTTGTGACATCACTAGGAATTAAAGATGAATAATTGCCCTCTTGGGCTCTGGTTTTTTGTTTTTATGCAGGAAGGTGGCACTTACCAAACCTCTTCTGCTTGCCGATTGCCACTATGGATCAGGCCATGTGGAAAAACACCTTTTCCTAGGAGTTAGGATTCTGGGTTTCTAGTTCCAATTGTATCAGCTGTATGGCCCTTAGAAAACTCATTTCACCTCTCTGGTCTTCAGTTATCCCTTCTGTAAACTATCCATACTGCCTTTCTGGTGAGGTTAAGGAGAGATGCCCATAAGACCCGGATGTGGCAGCATTCTGTAAACCAGGAAACTACACAGACAAACGATGATAGTGCTATTATCACCCAGCACAAGTTCAGCTCGTGCTGTACCTTTGCAGGCAGATAAAGTTTGGGCCCCAATTTTATATATAAATAGCCAAAACTAAAAAGGCTTTGGAGCAAGCATCTAATTTGGGTCTTTCCAACCGTGCTCCCTGAGCCTGAGGTGCCTCAGAAATGCCACAGGGGCTGTCACAGGAAGCAGAGCTCCAGTCAAAAGCAGCCCCTACAGGGTTCCCACACAATTGAACTTGAAGTAGTTGAAGAACCATCTTCATGAGTGAATGATCCGCACAGTCCCTCGGGACTTGTACTTACAGGGACATTAAGCTGGGTTTTAATGCTCTCTTCCCATCACCTGGCTTATAATTCTTAATAAATTTTTAAGGTTTTGCACCAGACCCCACAAATTCCACATCAATAGGCGTTACATGACCAAACAACAAATATCTAATTCAATCCCTTCAGTGTACAAACAGGACAACTTCTACAGCAGCCCAGAAACAGGAAAGGACTTGCCCAAGTCACACAACAAATTGGAGTCAGAACCGGATTAAATCTGCAACATCCGGCTTCAGCTCTGAAATAGCTTCTCCCTCGCTTTTAGTGTGTGCTTCTGTCACCCCTGTTTTGCCTCTAATAAACAAACTGAGGCCCCAGGAGACCTGAGTGAGGTCACATATCTGTGACAAACAGTGATGATAGTGGTATTGAGCTACATTTCTTTTTCTTCTTTTTGGTTTTTTGAGATAGGGTCTCCCTATAACCTTAAATTCTCAACACTCCTGTCTCAGCCTCCCCACTACTGGGATTAGAGACACACACTACCACTCCCTGGTCTGAGCTATACTTCTTGATGCTTTGAATCCTTTTGGAAATATAAAAGGGTTGTGGCTAAGATGATAGATGAGAGAGAGAGAGAGGTTTTTTTCTTTACACTATTTATAGTTCATATTAAACTGATAACTAAGTCAGTCCTTGCTCATTTGCAGCCAGCTGGCTCCAGCTATTCATGAGTTGGGGCCTGAGAAGGGGCTAGGCTGATTAGTCTTTACCAGCTAACCCACATCAGCAGTGAATTTTACCAACTCACTGGACACTTCCTCAAATCAGTAGTTGAGCATTCTTGGTGCCAGAAAAATTAAAATATGAAAGATTTAGTAGCAACTGTTTCTTCCCTGTCTGTCCCTGCTTCCCCCGCTTCCCCCCCTCATGCAAGGCTTGTCAGATCTGAGAGTGGGAGGTGCTCCCTGAGCCCCCACCCCACCCCAAAGCCCTTGCTCTGAGGCCAGCCCATCTCTTCACTTCCTTGTTTCTTTGTGAAACAGGAACTTAGCAAGCAGCTCAAGTGGGGTAGGATGGGTAGTTGAGAAAGTCCCAGTGGGCCATGGCGAAGCCATGAAGCTGAAAAGCTGCTTTGCCTTCTAGTGGGTCCCAAACAGCTTTAGGCTTGTCACACCTCCTGTGTTCTAGAATAGTTTGAGCTGAGGGATCTTGCCCTTGACAAGGTAGAGACACACAGTGTAGGGGACCATAGGGTCATGTGGCAGAGATTCAGGTGGGGCCCAGAAGAGACACAGAAGCAGATGCTAACCACATACTGAGGGGAGAAGGCAGCAGCTCCAAATGGTCACCTAGGGCTTTCTGGCTTTGATAGGAGGGGAAAATCTTAGGAGAAACCTGCCAGGTACCCAGCACTTCCCACAAGCTGGGCACTAGGCATTATGCATGTCATTGCATGTCATTGGAGTAGTAAACCTTGTCTCTCTAGTACACAAACATACAAGCAAGGCCCTGTCTTCACAAAAGTTCATCATAAGTGATGTCACTTGCCCAAGGTCATACAGCCAATAGGTAATCACAGGACACTTTGAATTCAGTTCTACCTGCCTCCTTTTCTGGACGTTTTGGCTCCTCCTCTTCCCTAGAGCCCTAGATAACTGTCCCCTTGGTGCCAAGGGCCCACTACTCAGAGACCTTTGTCCTGGTAACCTTGGGACAGAGTCCTACGCAGAGCAAACCAACCCTACCCAGTCCCCTAAAGAAAGGCCCTCCAGTGAGTCATGAATGTGTTTTCATCTGAGCACTGAAGTCCAGCCTCCTCATCTCAGGGTAACTGCCACAGCTGCCTATACGTGTTTTATGTTTTTAAACTAAGACCTTATCATGAGTTCAGAGCTTCAGAGCTCCAAAGATGACTGTCTTTGCCTTCAGGGGTCCCCAATGTCCCCAGGCTAAAAGCTCTGTTTACCATGAAAATACCCAGGCATTTTTAAGGGACTATGTGTTCCCTGCTTGGATATTTCTAGAGACAGGAAGATCACTTACCAGAGCTGAACTAGTACCATCTGAATGTCCAACATTTCTTCCTTAAAATTAACCCAAACCTTCCATTTACATATTCCCCATCATTCCTAGCCACATACATGTATGCTCCCTCCTCTACCTAACAGCCCTTGGAAGTCAACTTGCCTCCAATCCCCCACCTAGCTCTCTAGGCTGAATATAACAGGAGTTTAGTACTTCACCTGCTCACAAAGGCCTGACTATCCTTCACCCACTTAACCAGCCCTAACTTCTGCAGTGTTTGCACATGATGCTACTTCCAGATTCCCTCCTCATCTTGCTCCCTTCCTTCTGGGCCTGCTTCAGGATGGCCCTGTGGCACCTAGTGCAGCACCCAGCCCAACATAGGACACCAAGAGAACTGTGCCAGAAGGCCCCACGATTCTGTCATGTCCTGTTCAGAAACTCTGCATCAGAAGCACTTTAGCTGAGGCATTAATAGCGTGGGCCGTGGGCATTTATACCTCGGCTCCAACCGCTTCCTAGCTGTGCAGACTTGGGCAATTCACTCAACCCCTGGTGCCTCAGCTTCCTCCCTGGGAAACTGGGATAACAGCAGTACCTGACCTAGGAGGTTCTTGTGAACCTCAGGGAGTTGTTATAATTTTCAGCTGTAATGTGTGGAGGGTTGTGGAGTAAGAAATGAAAGTGAGAATCTTTTGGGATGTTTTTCCAAATATAGGTATTTCCCTCAGTATCCAAACTTACTATCTCAAAGCAGGGATGTACCTATTCTGGGGAGTGAGAGATGCTTTTGTATGTGTCTGGCTCCCACCCACCCCAAAAAGCCCACCCACAATCAACTACCAAAAGAGAACCTCCTGGGGGTGTTCTGCTGGGGGCTGTTCTATATGAATGCAGCCTACCACGGCCTTAGTGTCTTTGGCAGTGCCTCCGAGGGTTCCGACTGATCTCACTATCCGTAGGACCCCCACAAACATATGCATTTTGCAATCTTGGCTAAATGAAATTTCTCCTGTCTGACATTTATACTTCAAGACACTTATTTGAGATATTTATCCCAGTTTAAGCTACCTACCTCAGAGAGTTGTGGCAGGATTAAAGGGCTTGGCAAAGAACAAGTGCTGGGCGAAGCTTGTCACCCCACCTAGGATGTCAGCTCTAAGGTGCAAGGGACCTTGACAGCTACTTATTTGTACCTCCTCAAAGTATTTATCACAAAGCTGTGCCCACAGAAAGCTCCTAGGTCCTGCTTGCCGTCCATTGTCAAGTTTAAGGTGAACTTGTTCACTGAACTACTGACCTGGGTTACTTCTTTATCTAAGGGTTCTGTGTACCTGGAATGGAAGCTATAAAATGCGGATGTATTGCCAGGAAGTGGGGGGAAGTGTATTAAACAAGGGTTTGGGGCCCATTGGCCCGCTGGGACTTGACCCACTTGGAACTCCAGCCAGGACCATGTGTTGAAATAGAAAGGCTAGAGGAAGGCAAGTTCCCATACGGGAGACCCTGGACCCCCAGGGTCTTCTGTTGACCAGAAGACGAAGATCCGAAAAGAAGCAAGAAAGGCAGGGCTGAAAGCACTGTTCCCTCGGTCCTAGGTCTGTCACCTTGCTGTATTCTCTCCTAGGTGCCCCTCACCTCCCTCCCCCCTTGCCGCCCTGGTTTGCTGGCGGCCTTTGAAGGCGCTTGCGGTTAGTGTGTGAGCTCTGCTCGCTGCCTGTGCTGAGCAAACAGGAAGCGTGCACATCCTGCGCGTCAGCCTGGAACACGCCGCTGCTGCGCAGGCGCGAAGGTTCTTGGAACAGCACCTTTGCTCACCGGTCTTGGCAGCCAAAGACACAGGTGTCCTGGGCTCTTGCAGCCGCATCTCCTGTCCCAGACCCTGGCGCGACTACCCTTCCCGCGCCCCGATCACGCCGATCCCCAAAGGCCCAGTGGGGTTAGTCCCCTATATTGCTACCAGCTCCTGCACGTGCCACAAAGTCTTAGCCAGCCACCACTCTTGGTGCCCTCAGCGGCCTGGGAGGGACTTAAAGGCTGGAAAACGCAGGCCTGTGGAAAAATGATCTGGAGTGCAGAATCTTTTTATGGATCTGCCTGTCAAGTTGAACAGGCCAGAGCCAAGGAAAATACGGCTTTAGCCTGGGGGAGAAGGACCTTGTCTTTCCTTAGCTCACCCAGGATGGATGGATGGTCCGAGGGCGTGGGGTAGGGTGGGGGGAGGAAGTCATGAGAACATCTTGGGAACTTGGGCGGGCCAGCCCAGGATTTCACAAGTGCGGCAGAATTGAAAGCCTTAAAAACATTCATCTATAGAGTTCTTTTTGATGTTCCAAGAGGTTAGGGATCAAAGGTGGAGGCAAGTCATAAACCAGGTGGAAGACTCCCTAAAGTAGACTCCTCATTGAAGATGAACATTCAGTTTCATGTTACTCCATGAGTTTATTTCTCTTTTTTTTAAATCTTCAATTTTTTTAAAGTGTATACCTTTTACCCCAGCAATTCCTCTTCTGGACATTCAGCCTAAGAATAAAACTGTAGATGTAAATGTACATTTCCTTTAAGGACAATGAGTAACTTAAAAAAAATTAAACCAAGCCAAATTCATCAGTAGGGAGCTAGTGAAGTAATAATGGTTTATCCACACAATGAGATACTCAATAGCCATTACAAATCACATAGTTGAAAAATATTTCACAGCATAAGAAAATATTAATGTGTTCCACGTGATACCAATAGTTTGCGAAGTATTTGTGTGTGTGTGTGTGTGTGTAAATAAGATTTGAACTCAAGGCCTTGTGCTTGCTAGGCAGAAGCTCTATCACTTGAGCCACACCCCCAGCCTGTGAAGTATTTTTTGAACTCAAGGTAATAAGGTTTGAACTCAAGTCCTTGAGGTTGCTAGGTAGGCACTCTACCACTTGAGCCATTTCAGCACTTCTTTTGTGTGGTAGGTATTTTTGAGATAGGGTCTCACTTTCATTTTGCCCAGGCTGGCCTCAAACCGTGATCCTCCTGATTACAGACAGGATTACAGGTAAGTTTACAAATGTGAGCCACCAGCACCCAGTATCTTGAAGTATCTTTTTACTTAAAAAAATTTTGGAGGTACCGGGGCTTGAACCCAGGGCCTCATAAATACTAGGCAAGCACCCTACCAATTGAGTCAGCCTCCAGCCCTTATCTTTTTAGAAATTAAAAACAGCTATAATTAAAAATAGGTATAATTGACTTTCAGTAAACCGCACATTTTTAAAGTGTACTATTTTACAAGTTTCGACATATAAATACATCCATGAAACCATGACCATGATCAAAATAGTGAACATATCCATCATCCCCAAAAGTGTCTGTGTGCCCTCCCATCCCCTTCTCCCCAAACCAATGATTTGCCTTCTGTGAAGTATGATTTTTATAAGAAGAAAAAAGGTGTATAGACAGAGAGGTAATAGATGCTTAAAATAGAAAAGGATATTCATCTAAACAGTACGGAAGGTAATTATAGACTTTTTCTTGAAATTTCTTCTTTTAGCTTATCTGTGTTTGCTAAATTGTATATGATGAATCCCACTTGCTTTTGTAGTAAGAATAAGTCATTGAGGTTATTAAGACATCTGACACAAGAGCTGGGGATGTAGCTCAGTGATAGAGCGCTTTTCTAGCTTAGAGAAGATTCTGGGTTCCATCCCCAGCACCACAAAAAAAAAATGCCACAGGCAATCCACAAGTGAACATTGTACATAGGCATACGGTAAATGCCTGTTGACAAGGTCATTCGTTGGTGGTGTGGCATTGCCTGCCAATGCCTTTCTGCTGTGGTAGTGATAAATGTGGTGGCTGAGGGATGTTGATTATGGGCTCAAGTGCTCTAGTGATGATGGCCATCTGTGTGCTGATGATTACGATAGTGTGATGATTGTCCAGCTGAGAGTGACACGTGGGTTAATATAATGTCTGTAAGGGTGATGCTTTAAGCTGTAAGGATGATGACTGAAAGAGTGCTAGAAAGTATGGTGGCAGGTAAGAGGTGCTGACTATAGAGGTGATTGCTGGAGTGCTGATGGCTCTAGGTGTGCGGAAGGCAGTGGAGATGGCTGCAGGAGTGATGGTTGAAGGGTGTGGTGACTCTGGTGATGGCTATCAGTAGGTGTGATGGTAGCAGTGGTGATGGTCATTGAGATGATGGCCATAAGGGTGATAATAATGGTAGTGTCAGCTGTGATGACCTTGCAGATGCAAATTGACCAAGGGATTCTGGTTAGTGAGTATAGGTCTTGAGTAAGTGACATAACGTCACCTTAATTGCCACCTCTGGGAAGATGGAGCAGAAGGACTGATAATAATTGACAGGAGACAACAGGGTAGGGGCTTTTCTCTGATTGTTCAACCCAAGAGCTGTCTGCATCAGAACCTCTGGAGACTGAAGCTGGGACTTCCTTCCTCCCTAGGGGCCGGCAGGGGCTGCAGTTGCTGTAAGAGAAGGTCACGTGGCAGAGCTTCCTGTATGCTGCTGCCGTCGGGTGTCCATGGCCCGCAAGCTGCCACTGCAGCAGTCAGAGTGGTAACCAGAGGCTCAGTCCATGCTGTGCCCCCTGGACAGTGTTGGCAAGGCTGAGCAAGAGGCCTCTGCATCTTGACACCTAAGAGAGCAGGGCCGGAGTCTCACCAGAGTGGAGAACCATGTTGCGCCGCAAGCCCTCCAACGCCAGCGAGAAGGAGCCCACTCAGAAAAAAAAGGTGAGGAGCATCTTTGGGGGCTTATTTCTTTCTTTCCTCCCTCTATGCTCACCACCCATCCCTTCCAGAATGCTAAGAAACGGGAAGAGCCAAAGGCCATACGTCAAGCTTGTAGATGAGGGCCATTCTCCCATTGGGCAACAGGACCAGGGCCCAAAGGTTACTAGAGTAATAGAAGTACAAAATGGACTTTTAAAACGCTGGAGTAGCAGAGATACAGGACAGAATCTTAGCAGTCTAGAGAATCTTACCACAATGGAATAAAGAACTAAAATTAGGGGCTAGAATCCTAGATTAGAATTCGAGAATTACAAAATACAACGCTCAAGTTGAATCCTAAGACTGCATTCAATTCTCCCTTCCCGTACACTGGTCCTGTCACCACTTCTGCCCAAGCATGGCCTCTCAGGAGCCATCTCACTCAAAGAGCCCCACTAAGCCACCTAGACAAAATAGATGCTCCAAGTCCCCTTCCTTTTGGCTGAGGCCTAGATCCTGCCCACTGGGCTCAGCTCTATTGCAGCTCCGAGGAGATGGCGCCTGAGATGATTTCCAGACTCAGGAAAAGGGGCCACTAAACTGCAGTGGAATGCAGCAGACTGTACAGGTTCTTCCTAGGAAAGGGAAAACTCGTTTGTGAGGAATGAGAAATGATTAGGTGTGAGACTGCAGAGGGAAAAGTCAGTGGGGGAATTTCAAAGGCCAGGAAGGAAGGCATCTGTCATGGACAGCTAAAATGTTCATCTTCCTGGGGCAGAGGCTGGACTGGAAGATTCTTGAAGGCTTAACCAGATCTAGGTTTCCCTGGTTGAATTCGAGGATTTGATTTGATTGTAGGATTCTCCCAATCACTAAGTACACCTTGCACATTCAGTGGGGCCATAGGACCATTCCAAAGCAGGACTGAGCCACATCCAAAAGCCCAAGCCAAGGTCAGGAGCCTCCAGATCCTCACTATGCCCTGCCAATTTCCCCTGAAGTCCAGCCCAAGTGCACTATGGGGAGCCCCCATGTCATGGGACCAGCTCCCAGGCAGAGGTTGAGACAGCTGAGGATGAGCCCCGGGGCACTGGGGTGTGCATCCTGCCCCATCTCTCAGGTCCTGGGTGGCTGCCACTTCCGGCTGTATTGTCCCCACACCAGCTGCTTCTCTAAGGTTGCAGTGGTGATGGGTGGGGGAGGGGAAGATTTATGAATCTTCACACAGTCCCTGTCACCTTGTCCAAATCTTGTACAGTGCTAGGCCCAACAGGCCTGCCATTGGCTGCCACTCCTCAGCGGTGACTGGGGCCACTTCCCCTTGTTCTCTGGCTCATGGGGGTGGGAAGCAGAGACTGCTCTATAGACACTGCTAGGCCCCAAACCACAGGAGAGCTGAGCTGGAGGAAAGAGTTTGAGAAAGAGCTGACACTTTGACACTGGGACCCTGTGCCACCTCAGGTGGAGGCATTCAGGGTCACACAGAACCAGAAGTCCCCTTCTTTCTTGCCTTCAATTACCCAGATTCTGTGTTTGGCAGGTGGGACTCTGGAGTTTCACCCAAGACTCTTCCAGAAACAAAACCCACATGGCACTCCGTGGTCCTTGTCCTTTTAGGGAGACAAACTTTGCCCCACCCTTGCCAGAGCCTGCGCCAGCCTCTAAAAGCCAAGATGAGCTTACCCCCACATACCATGAAAATGCCCTTAGAAAAGCCACATTTGCAGAATGGAGAAACAGTGTCTTCTCCAGGCCTGGAAGCAGGGATCAGCTCCATCATTGCCTGCATGATGACAGTGGACAAGTCCTATCCCTTTGGAGACTGAGGTGATGTGGTAGAGGGGAAGGCACAAAGGCAAGGGAAGCCTCTCTCTCCTGTGCCTGCTTCTTCTCCCAGTTCTGCCAAATGAAGAATGTGTCATGCAGGGGGCAAGAAAGTGGAGTTAGAATCCTGTCATGTTCTAGCTGTAGGACCTTGGACAGTTCACTGACTTCCTTTGGGCCTCAGTTTCCTCATCTCTAAAAAAAAAAAGGGATAACTTCTGACCTGCCTGCCTTGGTAGGTTGTACAGATCCCCTGAAACAATGTACTCTGTTGCGGGTGTCCACATGCCCACAAGGGGGTACCTGCTTTGGCATGGGCAGAGGAGGAGAGCACACTACAAAAAACAGCCATGGTCCCAGCCCTGAAGTAGAGGAAATAAGACGTATAGAGCCAGCTTCGATGGAGGGCTCATCAGGTGCCAAGCTCTGTGCTGTGCACTTTAACCACCTCTTAGCTTACTGATTTCTCACCACAACCTTGTGAATTGAGGCAGATATTGTCATCCCTATTTTACACACAAGACTCAGAGAAGTAAAGACATTTGCTGAAAGTCACACAGCTAGTGAGCTGCAGAGCAGGAATCCAAGCCAGTATGTGCCTGACTCCAGAATTTTCAGTTCTTCTCTCTCCACTCCCTTGTCGCCCTAATGATCTTAAAAGCACTAGAAGAATATCCCAAGTATAAATGTCCCAGCCTACCAATAGGAGAGCTCTACAGAGCTCTACAGGGCTGATCCAGATGGCTGTGCAACGAGTGACCTTCCAGCCAGCCCAGCAGAGAAGGGAGCAGGCCTTCCATGATGATTGCGTTAGGACACAGCACCTACTGCCAGTGCTAGGGTATAGGAAGTAGAAAGGAGTTTGTCCTGGATTTGCCTCCAGGCTCTTCCCCACATGCCCACTTTCCATCTCCCCAGACCTCCTACCAGGGAAATGGAAAGGGATCTAGGCTCCTGTTCGAGTGCTCCGTTCTTCCCTTCTTTCGGGTCCCTTCCCCTATCTTCCTTAATCCCAGCACACTACTCCTCCTGTGGCTCCCTTTAGCATGACACCTCCAATAGCATGTCCTTTGTGTTTTCAGTACAAGTTGGGCATCCCTAATCTGACTAGGGAATTTGAAATGCTCCAAAATCTGAAACTTTTTGAATGACAATGTGACTCCACAAGTAGAAAATTTCACACCTGACCTCATATAACAGACAGCATTCAAAATGCAGAGACACTAAAATATTCTGTAAAATTACCTTCAGACCTGGGCACAGTGGTGCGTGTCTATAATCCCAGCATTCAGGAGACTGAGGCAAGAGGATCTCACGTTCAAAGCCAGCTTGAGCTAATAGTGAGTTCCAGGTCAGCCTGGGCAACATGGTGAGAAACTATCTCAAGGGGAAAAAAAAGAAGAGAAAAAGAAAAAGAAAAAAAATTACCTTCAAGCTATAAGGATTATATGAAATGTAAATGAATTTTGTGTTTAGACTCGGTTTCTCATCACCAAGATATCTCATTATGTATATGCAAATATTACAAAATGAAAAAATCTGAAATATGTTTGTTCCTAAGCATTTACATAAGGGATATTCAACTGATAGCTCCTCACTGTCCACAAGATAACGCCGAGTTCCTTGGCATGGCTGGCAAGGGGCTTCCACAGCCCTCTGTACTCCACCTCCCAGCAGAGCCCATTGGCATACCCCCACACTCAGAACATCCCCAGCTCTCCCTCTCACTCAAACCCTTCACAGCTCTACCTGGAGAAATCCTGTCTCCCCTGCCTGGCCCAGATGAACTACACCTCCTCTATGAAGCCTTTCTGAGCCCTTCCTCCACCACACTCCCAGCTGCTGTCCTGGTGGCTCTGGTCAAACACCACCTGCAGTCACCACTGCACTCAGTCTCACTTCTGTCTTGGGGTGGGGACAACTGCATGAGGTGGGGACAACTGCATGAGGTGGTATGAGCACTTTAACATGCCTGGCCTTCCAGAGTCACAGACCTGGATTCGAGTGCATGCTCTTCTCTCTCCACTACCAGCCATAAGGACTCTGCCTAGAACCCTTCATTTGTCCACATCTTGGTCTCCTCCATTGTGAGGTGGGGATATGACACAGGGCTGCTGAAACTGGGGCAAGCTGACACATATGTGGCCCTGGGCAGGGTGTTGAGCGCATTCGTGGTATTTGACCTTTCATTGCGAAATTGCTCCCACACACATAGAGGTTGGGACCTTCAGTACTGATGGAGCTGAGAGGGTGGTTCAGGAGACACTTGGGAAGGAAATGCCACCGGAGACAATGAGGGGCTCTGAGGTGATCAGGGGAGGATTTCTGTGGGGGTGCTGCCTTTGAAACTAGAATGAAAACCCCTTTTCTGTAAGTATAATATCCCTATAAAGGCTGGGCGTATAGCTCAAGTGGTACAGCCAGCACTTTCCTAGCAAGTGCAAGGCCTTGAGTTCAAACACAAATACCACCAACAAATGTCCATACACAGAAGAGCATGAATCATAAGCGCACCACTCGGTGAGTTTCCATAAAGTGAACATCTTCATGTAGGAAGCACCCAGATCAAGAACCAAACTACCTCCAGAAGCCCAGAAGCTTCTCTCATGCCCCTGGCCAGCCACTACACTCTCCCTTCCCCTGACTTCCAATGGCACAGATCAGTTCTGCTTGGGTTTGAACTTTGTGTAGGAGAAAGCATATCACATGTACTTTGGAGCTATCCTCTTTTGCTCAATGATGCATTGGTGACATTCACCCATATTGTTGACATGGTTGTACTGTCTCATTGCCAGGTACTGTTCTCTTTTATGACTCTGCCATGTTTAGTTTACCCATTCTACAGTTGATGGGTATTTAGGCTGCTGTTTCCAGTGAAATTGGAATTAGAGAGAAACTATGGTTGACAGAGAAAAAGGTGAAGTTTTTCAGGTAGGGAAATGTCCAGGATAAGAGTCTAGAGGTAGGTCATAAAGCTGCCTGAGTTCAATCCCCAGTACCACCAAAAAAGTAAAACGTGCATCCAGCAAGGGACTGTTTTGTCAGGCAATGTTCTAAGCACTGTATGGGTGCTCATTCACTTCATCTCACAACATACTTTTGTCTTCATTTTACTGATAAGGAAACAGCAGCCGAAAGAAATTAAGTAACTTACACAGCTTTACACAGCTGGTCAGTGGCAGAACCAAATGAAGAAACTGGGGTTCAGAAAGATTGAGTAAGTCACCAAAGGTCACACATCCCAGAACTGAGCTCAGCTGTGACTGGCGCCAGAAATGTAGCTCTTTCCAAGAGTTCCATATGCTCTTCTTTTACTTGAAAATGGGGCCAAAAGCATCTGCTAATTCCTTGTCTGCATGCATGACTCCCAGATAGTCCTCGCCCCAAAGACAGGGCAGGCAGAAAACTGAAATGGGCTCAAGAATTTCAACTCATCCCTGGATGGGGGTACTCCAGGGTTACTGGGACTGCCCCTGAAGTTAGAAGTAGCCCTGGCAGAAAGCCAGCCTGGCTGGCCCTTGCCTTTGGTCACTCAAAAAACATGTGTTAGTCCTTTTCATCTCCCTGGGCTGAGGAGTGGCCAGCTGGGCCCAAGCCCCAGCAACACCTCCATGGCAATTTTAGATCGTCTCTTCCTGCTTTGGCCTAAAGCTGGGACAGAGGGGCCCCTGCACAAGGGCCTGAGGGCCAAAAGCCCCCTCCTCCCAACTCCCAGACTGCAGATTAATGACAGGAAAAGGCCTGGGGAAAGAGCTGCGATTAGAGAGCAGCCAAGCCATGAGTTTACTCTTCCCTAACAAAGCCTACTTCCTGCCCCACACTTGCCATCCTGCTTGCTTTCCAGCCTCACCATTCCCTGGGGCTTTCGGGGGCGACTCTCAGCCTCCTGGTCTGTAGCCCAGGCTAAGGGGTGGTGGAGGGAAGGCCACAATAGGCCCCATCAGCCTATAAATAGCAGCCCAGCCTGCCCTCTATGGGCCCAGGTCAGCTCAGTGCCCACCCTTTCTCTCTGTTCCCTCTTTTCCATGCAATAAGAGGAGGAAGTTATCCAGGCAGCTGCATCCTACCATACGAGGGGAGAATATAAATGGAAGGTGGAAAGAGAGGGGAAAGAAAGGGAGAAAAGGAGGAAAGAATAATGGGGAGGGAAACTCAAGGAAGGAGGATGGAGGAGATACATGGGAACCACAGCAGTCAACCCATAGTCACACTTTCCCCTCTGTACACCCACTCGTAGTCCTCTTTGCCAGGTCTCCAGGGTAGCACACAGGAAGCTTTCTGAGTCCTGATCATGCTAGTGTCTGCTAGTGTCTGCTTGGCCTCACCACTGACCTAGTTTCTGGTCAACTACCTCTAGGAATGTGTGGCCGTGACTTCTGATTGCTGACTGAACTTTGTGCAAGACCCAGCAAAAGTACTAGACTGCTACAAGGCAGTCCCCTGGAGTTGGGCCCAATTGTGCATGTGTTGGGGGGCAGGTGATATTGCCTCCACTCTGGGGGTTTGCCACTGGACACACCCCCCATTTAGTAGGAAAGAGGATGTGAAACCCTCAGCTTTGTGTGGGTTTGGGGCTCAGTTCCTTAAGCCTTTATCTCGGGTGTCTGCAGTCTATTTCACTCTATCTGTCTGGCCATCTGTGAACCCCAGTTCCTGTGTATATCTTCTGGTCTTGACTGTTTATCTTGATACAGGCTCAGCCTCAACTTGTGTGTATAGCCTGCTCCCCTTACCTGACTTGCCCTGGTTTCTAGCTGCTATCTTGGCTTATGCATGCGTATACAGTTAAGAAAGATCATTTCCTGAAAGGAGTCTCATCAACACAAACAATAGGTCACTCCTGAAAGTCCAAACACCAGCAAACTTCAAAAGTTGCCAGCTCATGGCACTAGTGGCTAAGGTAAAAAGCTGAGGTGAATAAAGAGAAAATGGTGGCTTTCTTTAAACTAGCCCCAATCATGGGTATTCCAAATCTGCAGGCACTTTCTCCATGTCTTTACTGTGGTTTTCCAGAAAGTGTAATGCCAGGTTGGCTTCTAAAAGGATTACCTTGTTCTTCCTGAGACAAAAGGTCATCAAGCTGCAGACCCCAATATGTCTGTGCCTATCTCTGTGAATGCAGACCAGGCTCAGTGCAGGCCCAGGATATGGGGTTCGGGAGGAGTTTGCTCCCAGTTAACTTATGGTGAAGTTCTCATATGTGCTGAGGTATACATTTACTCTGACTCATTCAGTTTTACATCAGGGCTCTAGGACCAAATTGCAGACACTGGTAGAAATTTGAACTTAGTCTGGGACCTCACTAAGATCTGAGGCTCCTGCTGTCAGGAGCTTGATCTGCAGTCAAGGATAGAGTCAAGCATGAGGTGAAATCACATAGTTCCTAAGACATTTTGGCACTTCGCCTCATTAACCCTGGGCCCTTAGGACACATGTGGCTCTGCCCTGCCATGGTGTGTGCATGCGTGCTAAAAGGGGAAAACAGGTCTGTCCTTGGGCAGCCATTTTAGCACCACTGATTGTGATGTCTGCTTCTTTCAGCTCTCCCTTCAGCGCTCCAGCAGCTTCAAGGATTTTGCCAAATCCAAACCTAGCTCCCCCGTAGTGAGCGAGAAAGAATTTAATCTGGATGATAATGTGAGTTTCAGAGTCTCCTGGGGTTCTGGCTGTGGGCCATGGGTGGAGAAGTGCTAGTGGAAGGGAGGAGTGGGAAAGAGGAGATACTAGGATTGTTGAGCAAGGCCTCTTTTAACACAGAAGGCCCACTTCTCTTGTGCATCACACCTCTCCAGGCCCCAAGCACTCCCCTGCATTCTTTCAATTACAAATTAAATAGAAAGCTGTAAATTAACAGGGCTGAGAACAGAGCTAGGGCTAATGGGGAAGGAGATTGGGGCCTTTCAATCCCATCCCCTCCACCCTCTGTTTGGACCCAAAGGCCTCTTTGTACTCCATGTCCTGGACCCATGAAGAGTCACCAGGGTGCCTAAACCTCCTCTCTTGTTTGTCACAGATTCCAGAAGATGACTCAGGTGTCCCTACCCCAGAGGATGCTGGGAAGAGTGGCAAAAAGTTGGGAAAGAAATGGAGGGCAGTGATTTCCCGAACCATGAACAGGAAGATGGGCAAGATGATGGTGAAGGCCCTTTCAGAAGAGATGGTGAGCCTGGAACCCAAGGGACGGGTAGAAACCGGGGGACGGGGGACAAGGAGGCTGCTCTAACAGGGGGTGACCACCTGAATAGGCACTGTTTGGACATGATGGCTCTATTCAGTGCAAGCAGGGAGGTCACATGGGAGGAAGGCACCATCAGCCATGAACAGAGGGTCCGGGAAGTACTGAGGGGGCAGGAGGCTGGCTAGGAAAGCCTTGGGGTTTCAGGAGGGATGAAACTCTGGGCAACCAACCAAAACTTCCTGCAAAGACAGGCCTGCAGGGAGGGGCAGTTGAAAGGGACATGAGGTAGTTTGGGGGAAATCCATCCACCTCAAAGCTTTGTTTGACATATATAAATGTTATAATGTATTCCCCCCCAAAACTATTATATGGTAATAAAAAAAAAAACTTTGCTCGGAATTAGCCCTTGGGGTGGGAAGGCCTGATTCCAGAAAGATACAAAGAAAAATACAGATGCTCCTCAGGTACCATGGAGTTACGTCCTGATAAACCCATCATAAATTGAAAATATTACCCCATCAGAGCTTAGCAACACAGCTCACTACAGTGTCAGTTGTTTCCCCTCATGATTTGTGACTGACACGTAGCTGTGGCTCATTGCTGCTGCCCAGCCTTACCAGAGAGGATCACACTGCACAGAGCCAGCCTGGGAAAAGATCCAAATTCAAAATTTGAAGTGCAGTTTCTACTGACTGCCTATAGCTTTCACACCATCAGCAAGTCAAATGATTGTAAGTTGAACCATCTTTAAGTCAGAGACTGTAAAGAAAATTGAGGCTGGCTTCAACCCCTGGAGGAAGGTGACACAGATACCTGTAGGGCAGGCACAGCCCACGTAGCACACAGTGAGTCTGTTATACTTATGGCTCTCACAGATGGCACCAAGCAGTGATGTGATAGTATCACCTTTTGGTTAAATTGTCAGATATTTTGCAAGGCAGTTGTTGACTACAATCATACCTAAAAATCAAGTTATATAAACTTACAATTAGATACATTATACTGAAAACAAGGGTTATATCACAAATCTTCAAATTTATCACTTCCTAATTCTGGCACTATGTTTGTTGAGGTTATTTGTGCTTCTAGTATCTGTTTAGTAGAAATAACCTAGCTACCTCTTCTGACAACTCATCTGGTGACATCATGATGATAGTTTGACTTGGCTATGGTGAGGAGTATTTCTAATACAGGAATTGGCAAATCATCAGTGTATTTCCCAGAGAACCAGCAGTTAACAGCACCACACTGAGATGTAGTGAGATGGGAGGGGCTCTGGAACCTGACTTGGTTGTGGGTTCCCACAGGCCTTGGCAAGGTTACTCTTCATCTGTAAACTCAAGCCAACCATACCACTTATCTTCAAGTGTCACTGTGAGGTTTAAAGGAAATGGCAGGCAGGCCTGGCACACAGGAGCACAGGCAAAAGTAATTTGCCCTCCAGCACCATTGTCTGCTTGACTAGACCATAGCAACAGCTGAGTCCAAGCTCAGCCACCATGGCCTTTTCTGTGTGTACATAAGCACTGGAGGCTGACAAAGTCCATTCACTTGGCACCCTTGTGAGCCTTGTTCTATGACACCCTTGTGAGCCTTGTTCTGTGACATAGGCAGGACAGGGACTGTCATTCCCATTTTTACAAAAGAGGAAACTAGGGCCCATAGAGTGTCACTAATCCTGGAGGTGACAGAGCTGAAGTTTGAGCCAAGCATGCCCAGTTCCTCTGTACTTGGCACTATCTACATGTACCAAGCGAGGCCTTCTGCCCACCCACCTTGCAGGGAGACACACTGGAGGAGGGCTCAGCCTCCCCAACATCCCCAGACTGTGGCTTGGACAGCCCTGGACCTGAGAAGATGGCCCTAGCTTTTTCTGAGCAGGAAGAGCGTGAGTTCCCAGCGCTCAGCCGCCAAGCATCTACAGGTAAGTAGGGCAGGTGAGAAGATGCCTGCCGAATCTGGAGGATTCGGTTAGGGTGGTGCCAGTGGGCTGTCTGAAAGAGGATGGTGAAAGAAATGAATCTTTACTGTCTGCTTGCTGGAACTTTCCCAGCCCCCTTCACATTAAATCTTCACAACATCATAAGACCAGTACTGTTGATGTGCAAACTGAGTCTCTGAGAAGTTATGACTTGCCCAAGGTGACCCAGTCCTGAACTCAGATCTGCCCTAGAGGAGTTTCCACTTGCTATCTCTAGGTGCTCAAAGAGTCCACGAAGAGAGGTTTTGGACCAGCTTACCCCCACCCTTCCAAGGGGAGGTAGAGGTTACAGCCCTCCAGACTTATGATAGCCCATGTGGGGTGGGGGTATAGGGTCTCTAGCTCTGAAGAGTCAGCCTGTTGGATTCCAGACCTAGGTTTGTTGACCTTAAGGCACTACTTGGCATCTTCTATAAGTCCAGAGGCTGGACAAGAGGAGGGGCTCTAGGCTGTAGCCCTAAAGAAGCACTGCTTTTCTTTACCCTCAGTCTCATTCCAAGCTTCCAGCTCTTTCTCTGGCTCTATAGACACATTTGTGTGTTTCCCCCCCCCCCCACTGAAAGCCACTTAAAATGCCCATCACCCTGCCCTTCTCAGGAAAAAAGAACATATCTATAGTTTTCTTGGAACATTGTGACTAAATGTTGAGTCTTATTAAATAGAGAAAGTAAAAAAATTAATGCAAAGTGTGGCTTTCCTGGGTTGAAAGAGCACTGGAATGGGAGTGAGGAGACCTGGAGTCTAATGTGGCTAGTGCTGCCAAGTGACAGGCCTTGAGCAATCACTGGTCCCATCTGGACCCCAATTTGTTCATCTGTTCATTGGGTTATTGGCCCTGCTGGCTTTCAGAGGCCCTCCCAGTTTGCCCACTCTTGGGTCTATGGGCTGTTTCTCTTTCTGATATCAATTCTTTTCATTATCCTTGGCCCCAAGGTGAAATTGTGCTTCTCCAGGGTGGCTGAGGGGATGGTTCTGAATCCCCACTGCAGCTTTCTTCCCCAGAGTATATCCTTGGGATTTCCAGGCAGACCTCCTGAAAAGTACCTGCCAGGCACTGACTACCCTGGGACAAAACTGAGCCTTCTCCCTGCACCATCTCCTGCAGGCAGTGAGCTCTGCAGCCCCAGCCCAGGCTCTGGCAGCTTCATGGAGGAGCCACCTGCCCCCCAGTACACAGGGCCTTTCTGTGGTCGAGCACGAGTCCACACTGACTTCACTCCCAGTCCCTATGACCATGACTCACTGAAACTGCAGGTAAGGTTGGCACCCAGACCCCTCCAGAGCCTGGCAGGCTGCAGGAGGCTGTCCATAGCCAGAGTAACACAGTGGCAGCAGAAACCAAGAGACCGCTCTCCCCTTTCCGCTGTTCTCCTCCTCCCACAGAAAGGAGATGTGATCCAGATCATTGAAAAGCCGCCTGTGGGCACATGGCTAGGCCTGCTCAATGGCAAGCTGGGCTCTTTCAAGTTCATCTATGTGGATGTGCTGCCTGAGGAGTCAGTGGGGCCTGCCCGCCCCAGCCGCCGACAGAGCAAGGGCAAGAGGCCCAAACCAAAGACTCTGCATGAGCTACTGGAGCGCATCGGCCTAGAGGTTTGACCTTAGACCTGCACTAGTATCTAGGAGCAAGGGAGGCATACTTGCCTCTGGGATGGGGACAAGGGGACAATAGCTATGCATAAGGGGAAGGTTCTAGGCAGGGGTGGCTTATAAGCAGCAGTGTTGGTGGCTTGCCTCTGCCCCCAGGAGCACACGTCCACCCTGCTGCTCAATGGTTACCAGACGCTGGAGGACTTCAAAGAGCTGAGAGAAACACACCTCAATGAGCTGAACATCATGGACCCACAGCACCGGGCCAAGCTGCTCACAGCTGCAGAGCTGCTGCTGGACTATGACAGTGAGTGGTTTTAGGAATGGGGTAATAGGCATTGGTGTCCACTGGCATTTCAGGAAGCAAAGGCTTGCCTTGGCCCTGACTACACTCTGCCCCAGAGCCTCTCTGCAGTAGGAAGGCATTTTCCAGACTTGAATTTTGGGGAAAGTTTGTGGGAGTAAGGGGGTGTAGGGATAATCAGACCTAACCCCTTTTTGAATCAAAGAGGAGACTAAGGCCAGAGAAGGTAAGGCTTTTGTGTGAAACATCAACACTGGGGAATATAGCCACGATTGAAACCAGGATGCTAGGTTCCAGTTCAGTCCTGGAGAAGTGTGAGCTCCTGGGCCTGGAAACAACTTCCACCAGCTTCTAAGCTGGAAGTGGGAAGAAGAGGGGCAGAGGTGGTAGAGGAGGCCAGGGGGACTCCTACAGGAGATTTCCATGGTCTCTACCCCCACAAGGAGGCTCCCCTGGTCTTCTGACCTTCCCAGTTTAGGACCAAGCCCCCCATATTCTGTCTTCCTCCCTCAACCCTGGCAGCTGGCAGTGAGGAAGCAGAAGAGAGCACCGAAAGCAGCCAGGAGCCGGTGCCACACACAGTGTCGGAACCCAAGGTGGACATCCCTCGTGACTCTGGCTGCTTCGAGGGCTCAGAGAGTGGGCGCGATGAGGCAGAGTTGGCTGGTGCTGAGGAACAGCTGCATGGCCTCTCCCTAGCTGGAGCACCTTGACATGGAGCTGGTGTAGGCCAAGGCTGGGCCTCAGCTGTAGAGGCCACAGGGATGGGCCCAGCCTCCCGTTAATGGCCCAGGCCCAGAGGACTGGTGTTGAGGCTGGCCTTGCTTCCCCAGAACAGCTTAGGGCCAAAGGCCTATAGGCTCAGCTGGAGTGGATGAGTGTCGTCCAGAGGCACATCCCACCTGCCTGATCTCCTTCCTCCACCAGCGACTGACAGCACAGCCCCTCCTGGCACCACCCTCTCCCTGGCTCTGGCCACACTAAGTGGGGCACCAAGGGACCTGCCCATGTCCCTCGCCACAAAAGTCCCCCAAACCCTCATCACCCCTACTCCGCTGTCGCACTGCTCCTGCAAAAGGTGCCAAGTCAGTGTTTCAGATTATTCTCAAAACCCTAGGGAAGCTGGCCATTTAAAAGGACCCTGGTTGGGCTTCGGCAATTCAGAGTTCCCTAAAAAAGGTTTGAAGAAAGTTGCATGTGCCATTCATACTGTCCTTAACTTCTTAGAAGTTTGGCTGCTAAATAACTCTGAGACTTGAACCAAATACCTGTCCCTTTCTGGGTTTAGGACTGGCAGGGGTTAGACTGGGTGGTCACTGAAGGCCTTGCCAAGCATGATGTTCTGCATCTTTAAAGGTCTGTTGTCCTGCTACCCACAGTCCAGGACACTGGTGGCACTTACTGAGAGGGCTGGAGGGGCCTTGGGCTTTCAAACGAAATGGCTTTTCCTGCTCATCTGTTTCATACCTTCCCACGTGACTCAGGCCAAATCACAACTTCTCCCAGCTTAAAACAATGCCCATACCTCATATGATATGTTCCCTCCTTCTGTTCCTGTCCCCCTCAAATGAGATTTCCCACAGCCAGATGGCAAAGTGTCATGCATGACTACAAAAGACACAATGACCCGTGGAAGCCAGATGCAGGTATGGGCTCAGGCATGGCCACTTATCTGAATCGTCACAAGCAAAGAAAGCACTGTGCTTGACACTGGGAAGTCTACTACCCTCCCACGTTGCTTTGCTAAGGGTTTTGGCAACCCTGAACTCCAAAGGGTGGGGACGTTATCTGTTGGTGGGGCCTCCCTTGATCCTGGTAGCAAATCTGTGCCTTAAATCTCCCAGAGCAGTCCTTCCCTGGTGTGGGACAAACAGTGACCACACCATCTAGGACTGCTTGCTTTGTGCACACGCTTCTTGACCTACCAGGAACTTTGGTAAAAGCTAGCTTTGGGGAAGGAGTTGGGTGTAAATATGAGGGCGTGGAGGGAGACATCTTGGTAGCAATAAATATAGGTACAACTAAATTGCTGTCTCCAATTCTCTTTCCTATTGAGAAAGGGTTGGGGGGCGACAGATGGGACTCCTTCAAAACTGGCCTCAGCATAATATCCTTCCATTGTCTTTTCAGGACTATCTTTCCCCTCCCCATTTATGCACAGTGCCCTTGATTCTGCTGACCTAAAATCACATCCAGCAGCTCTGCCCTTCCCTCCAGCAGCCCTTCTGAGAAGAGGGTTCAGGCTTCCATAGCCACAGGCCTCGCTTGGGTCTGAGAGCAGATTCATTTTAACAAGAGCTTTGAAAACATTCACCCCTATAAAGAAGGGCCTCCATGGAGGAGGAGGGCTGTCCAGGGTGCAGGAGAGGGATAGTTAGGGTCAGCAAGCCTTTCCTCTGAATTCCTCCTTCTGGGCTGCACCATCTCCTGGGTGGTTGCATGGATTTGGAGGCTTCTGGCTTCCTTTCTGTTTCTGCAGTGTTAACTGTACTAGGGAAGACACACTGGAGTGAGAACTACCACCAGAGTGGGAACAAGGCCACTCTGCTTCCAGGCTGTCTTAGCTGCACTCATCTCACTGCCCACTGATATCCACTGACTGTGGATGTCAGGAAGCTTCGAGCACTATCCTCACCCAAGAAACAAGAGCTGTAACAGCCTCAAAGCCCCAAGGGGACTGAATAATTGCTGCCTTCAGTGAGCGCAGGCACTCAGTGTACCTCTGATGTAGGTACCATCATCATCAGAGGAAACTGAGGCTCAGAGAGGTTGAAGAGGTTGAAGAGGGTGACTAGGAAGTCACAGAGCAAGGAGTCTGCCTGACTTCCAAGCCTGTGTCTTTTTTTTTTTTTTTTGTGAAGTGTATAACGTCTGTTTCTGGATTCATTTTTTTTTCATTTTTCTTTTATTATTCATATGTGCATACAAGGCTTGGTTCATTTCTCCCCCCTGCCCCCACCCCCTCCCTTACCACCCACTCCGCCCCCCTCTCCCCCCCCCAATACTCAGCAGAAACTATTTTGCCCTTATTTCTAATTTTGTTGTAGAGAGAGTATAAGCAATAATAGGAAGGAACAAGGGTTTTTTCTGGTTGAGATAAGGATAGCTATACAGGGCATTGACTCACATTGATTTCCTGTGCGTGGGTGTTACCTTCTAGGTTAATTCTTTTTGATCTAACCTTTTCTCTAGTACCTGTTCCCCTTTTCCTATTGGCCTCAGTTGCCAAGCCTGTGTCTTAATCCCTATCTTTCGTTGCTTCCCAAAAGACCTTGTCTAATAAGCTTTTCAAAGGCCATGGGCACTTGAGAAGATAATCTGACCCTTTGACTCATCATTTTTCCCCTTCCAAGATTTGAACTACAGAAAGAGCCACACAAGTGCACAAAGATATATGGGCAAAGGTCTTCACAACAACTCTGTCTATAATAGTAAGCAGTTGGAAACAACACAAATGTCGAATTTGGTAGATACATTATGGTGCATTCATTCAACAGCATGAAGCCATTAAACCATTAAACACAATGTTGTAGAAAACTATTTAATGACATGGGGGTAAATCATGATATTTTAGTCTTAAATTTTAAAAGTTTATAAGGTACAAGCATTTTTCTTTTTAAAAGACACTTGTGTTATTTCAAGGAGGAAAGCAAGTACTTAAACATTATTTATGGGGTGATTCCATTTTTATGTAAGAAAAGGAAAACATGCAGAATAAAGACTAGAAAGATCTGCACCAAATGGTTATGGGTGGTGGTCTTATGAGGGTTGTGGGGCTGGAGCAGGGCAGTGAAGGCTAGAAGTGTTAAATTCTTGTTTCTTTTAAATTTCAAAAGTATGTACCACACGCACACATGAAAATGGAGCAGTATTTTAGTTTTTGGAAAAAATAAAACTAAATGACCAGGTGTGGTAGTGTATGCCTGTAATCCAGCACTGAGAAAGCTGAAACAGGAAGATTATGAATTTGAAGGCAGCCTTGGCTACACAGCAGGTTTCAGGCCAACCTAGGTTATCTAGGAAGTCCCTGTCTCAAAAAACCAAAATAGTAAAAATAAACTAAGTTAACCAACAATAGGGCCCAAACCTCTGGCCTCCAATGTAGAGTAGCAGGAAAGGGTTCTGGAAAGATGGGACTTGCGGGTGAAGAATACCCAAAGTACTTTGAGAATCCATACACTCCAGGATCCCTTATCAGAGGAGATTCCTAAATCTTTTTAAAACACTGGATAGAGCTGGGGGTAGAGCTTACTGGTAGAGTACTTGCTTAGTATGCACAAGGCTCTGGGTTCCATCCCCAGCACTGCAAACAAAAGAAAACAACAAAAAAAATTAACCCTGGGTAATGCCTACCTATTAACCATAAGCTAAGGAAAAGAAAATTCAGAAAGAAAAAGAATGTCTGAGAAAATGATGTTTTGAATCCTCTCCTGGGATGGGGTGTAGATCAAGAGGTAAGCTTACTTAGCATGCCCTGGGTTCTAGCCCAGGACCACACAAAAAAAAAAGATAGGGAGGGAAATAGACCAAAAGGAAATAATAATCATCAATCTGTACGCACCCAATGTCAACGCACCCAATTTCATCAAACATACCCTGAAAGACCTAAAAGCATATATAAACGCCAACACAGTGGCTGTGGGAGACTTTAGCACCCCATTATCATCAATAGATAGGTCATCCAAACAAAAACTCAATAAAGAAATCCAAGATCTAAAATATGCAATAGATCAAATGGACCTAGTAGATGTCTACAGAACATTTCATCCAACCTCTACACAATATACATTCTTCTCAGCAGCCCATGGAACCTTCTCCAAAATAGATCATATCCTAGGGCACAAAGAAAGCCTCAGCAAATATAAGAAAATAGAAATAATACCGTGCATACTATCTGACCACAATGCAATAAAAGTAGAACTCAACAACAAAAGTAAAGACAAAAAACATGCAAACAGCTGGAAACTAAATAACTCATTACTTAATGAAGAATGGATCATGATGAATAAAAGAGGAAATTAAAAAGTTCCTGGAAGTCAATGAAAATGAAAACACAACCTACCGGAACCTATGGGACACAGCTAAGGCAGTCTTGAGAGGAAAGTTTATAGCCATGAGTGCATATATTAAAAAGATTGAAAGATCCCAAATCAATGACCTAATGATACATCTCAAACTCCTAGAAAAACAAGAACAAGCAAATCCCAAAACAAATAGGAGAGAAATAATAAAAATAAGAGCTGAAATCAACGAAATAGAAACCAAAAAAACCATACAAAGAATTAATGAAACAAAAAGTTGGTTCTTTGAAAAAATAAACAAGATCGATAGACCCCTGGCAAACCTGACTAAAATGAGGAGAGAAAAAACCCAAATTAGTAGAATCAGGAATGCAAAAGGGGAGATAACAACAAACACCATGGAAGTCCAGGAAATCATCAGAGACTACTTTGAGAACCTATATTCAAATAAATTTGAAAATCTAAAAGAAATGGACAGATTTCTAGATACATATGATCATCCAAAACTGAACCAAGAGGAAATTAATCACCTGAATAGACCTATAACACAAAATGAAATTGAAGCAGCAATCAAGAGTCTCCCCAAAAAGAAAAGTCCAGGACCTGATGGATTCTCTGATGAATTCTATCAGACCTTTAAAGAAGAACTGATACCAACCCTCCTTAAACTGTTCCACAAAATAGAAAGGGAAGGAAAACTGCCTAACACATTTTATGAAGCCAGTATTACACTTATCCCAAAACCAGGCAAAGACACCTCCAAAAAGGAGAACTATAGGCCAATCTCCTTAATGAACATTGATGCAAAAATCCTCAACAAAATAATGGCAAACCGAATTCAGCAACACATCAAAAAGATTATTCACCACGACCAGGTAGGCTTCATCCCAGGATGCAGGGGTGGTTCAACATACGAAAATCAATAAACGTAATAAACCACATTAACAGAAGCAAAGACAAAAACCACTTGATCATCTCAATAGATGCAGAAAAAGCCTTTGATAAGATCCAACATCATTTCATGATAAAAGCTCTAAGAAAACTAGGAATAGAAGGAAAGTTCCTCAACATTATAAAAGCTATATATGACAAACCTACAGCCAGCATTATACTTAACGGAGAAAAACTAAAACCATTCCCTCTAAAATCAGGAACCAGACAAGGATGCCCACTATCTCCACTCCTATTCAACATAGTACTGGAATTCCTAGCCAGAGCAATTAGGCAAGAAGAAGGAATAAAAGGAATACAAATAGGTAAAGAAACTGTCAAAATATCCCTATTTGCAGACGACATGATCCTATACCTTAAAGACCCAAAAAACTCTACTCAGAAGCTTCTAGACATCATCAATAGCTATAGCAAGGTAGCAGGATATAAAATCAACATAGAAAAATCATTAGCATTTCTATACACTAACAATGAGCAAACTGAAAAAGAATGTATGAAAACAATTCCATTTACAATAGCCTCAAAAAAATCAAATACCTAGGTGTAAACCTAACAAAAGATGTGAAAGACCTCTACAAGGAAAACTATACACTTCTGAAGAAAGAGATTGAGGAAGACTATAGAAAGTGGAGAGATCTCCCATGCTCATGGATTGGTAGAATCAACATAGTAAAAATGTCGATACTCCCAAAAGTAATCTACATGTTTAATGCAATTCCCATCAAAATTCCAATGACATTCATTAAAGAGATTGAAAAATCTACTGTTAAATTTATATGGAAACACAAGAGGCCACGAATAGCCAAGGCAATACTCAGTCAAAAGAACAATGCAGGAGGTATCACATACCTGACTTCAAACTATATTACAAAGCAATAACAATAAAAACAGCATGGTACTGGCACAAAAACAGACATGAAGACCAGTGGAACAGAATAGAGGACCCAGATATGAAGCCACACAACTATAACAACTTGTCTTTGACAAAGGAGCTAAAAATATACGATGGAGAAATAGCAGCCTCTTCAACAAAAACTGCTGGGAAAACTGGTTAGCAGTCTGCAAAAAACTGAAACTAGATCCATGTATATCACCCTATACCAAGATTAACTCAAAATGGATCAAGGATCTTAATATCAGACCCAAACTCTAAGTTGATACAGAAAGAGTAGGAAATACTCTGGAGTTAGTAGGTATAGGTAAGAACTTTCTCAATGAAACCCCAGCAGCACAGCAACTAAGAGATAGCATAGATAAATGGGACCTCATAAAACTAAAAAGCTTCTGTTCATCAAAAGAAATGGTCTCTAAACTGAAGAGAACACCCACAGAGTGGGAGAAAATATTTGCCAACTATACATCAGACAAAGGACTGATAACCAGAATATACAGGGAACTTAAAAAACTAAATTCTCCCAAAACTAATGAACCAATAAAGAAATGGGCAAGTGAACTAAACAGAACTTTCTCAAAAGAAGAAATTCAAATGGCCAGAAAACACATGAAAAAATGCTCACCATCTCTAGCAATAAAGGAAATGCAAATTAAAACCACACTAAGATTCCACCTCACCCCTGT